ATATGTTGTTGTAAAAAGAAAAAAAAATATGGCTGTTGCAACTTGCACTAACTATTGCAAAGGTCACCGCATGTTACTTCGGGTTGTTGCCAATGCATCTTTTCAAAATTTACTTATACCTCTTGATTTTTATTAATTATTTCATTCTTTGCTAATACAACTTGAGGAGACAATTAAAAAAGGACATACATAGAACAAAATTATCATCTCACTCCTTAAAATACTATTTTCACTTGAATTGATTATGTTACCAAAACCTTAAGTTTAAAAGATGTTAGTATAATTTTCAAAACCTCGTAGAGATCCGTGAAAGGTTAGAAACTTCAAGGGAGGTTTCTGAAATTATCATAATAGTTTTTGTTGTAAACATTTTGATTTGTTAATTTTTTGTATATTGGAGTATTAATTCCGCTTCATACATTTGATTTTTTAAAAGTATTCAGAGAATAAAAATAAAAAGGGTTTGAATTTTATTGTGTGTGTTGTATTAAATTACCGAATAAAGTAAGCTAAACTGCATACACATATAGCTGAAAAATCGGACTGAGATGATTATGCCACTTGTTATCTGTTTGTTTTATTACCCTACAGGCAAGGATAGATTTGAAAGTCGATTCCTACACATATGAACGACACGACAATAGTAAAATTTTCTTGTTATTGTGTTCCTTTGCTGTTCAATAGTGAATATTATTAATAATAATTGAGTCACAAGCCTGCATAACTTAGACCGATAGAATCTAAACAAATGCAAAAGCCAAGAGATAATTTTATCAAAGGGATAATTTCAGAAACCTCCCTTGATGTTTCTAACAATTGACAATTTCACTCGGCTTATCTCATGTTTAAGAAATGACACTTACCTCTCTTGACATAATAAAATAATGTAATGCCCTCTACTTAGTAGATAATTTTAAATTTAAGGTAATAAATTTACAAAACCTAAAAAAAATATATTTTTCTGCCTCTTGTCTATTTTCTAGTTAATATAACATCTTTTTATTATCTTCAATTTTGTGGATGTTAACAAATTGAAATTACAAAATCTGCAAAAGGAGTAAATTATGTGTCCAACTAGAAACAAACGAAAAGACTCGCAGTGATAGAAAAATAAATAATGAAATTGATCATTGAAATTGGAAGAAGAACTAAAACTGTAGAATTTGTTATATTTTGTTTGTTGTTAAGAAATTTTTTTATAAAATGTCAATAATTACTTAATGATTTCTTTCATTGGATTAGAAAATTTTTATTATGATTTTATTGAAGAAGTAGAATTTATTCTTACTTTTGAAATATTAATATTTTAAGGCCATAGGAGAGTTGTAATATTGGTTTTAGGTCAAATTAACTTATATTGAAAAGGTATTTGTGCATTTATATTTAATTTGGGGTAATAAAATTTGATTGTCAATGTTTGTATTTTTTTTTTTATCGTGATAAGTATTAATACTTTATATGCAATTTAGGATATTTTGGATGACTACTTGATTTTAGAACTTATGCTTGGATGGTTGTTAGGGATTTAGCTAGTTGATTTATGCAAAATATGGAAAAAAAAGATTGAATATACTAAGTTTTTCTTTCTTAGTTTTGTACAAAAGGGCAATTTAGAATTGTTAAAAGAAAATGTAAGTTCTTGGATTTATATTGTTACTAAACAGTAAAAGTAGGGGAGGTATATGTAATTTTTAAAATTTGAGAGGAGCTCTTTATAATTGTGAGAAATCTCAAGGGAGCTTTGTGGAATTATCCCTTTATCAAATCAATTTTCATGATTGACCTTCGTCCAATCGAAGTCAATTCTGCACTGGGGCCTTTGGGTACAAAAGAAAATATTATTGGCTCCTTCATTGGAAATCCTAACCAAGAAAAAAGTTTTTTTTTTTTTCCTATAAACCTAAACTACAACTCTTAACAAATGTGTTTATAATGTAAGCTAAATAGTATTTGAATTTTGTTTCCAAATTATGGTATTCAAACAGACCATTAGTTTTTTTTTTTAAGATCAAACTGACGTTCAAATTACAGAATGAAGAAAATAATTACTCAATTTCTTAACATCTAATTTTTATTAGCTTTATCTAGTCAAACTGTTCCCCACCATTTACTGCAACAAAACAATTATTCAAGAATGGCTTGATGTTTAAAATAAGGCGTATGGGTGCACATTCTTGAGTCTTGCTACTCAGGCATTATGTTGAAAGCATCAACATTGTAGAATATTCACTAGTAGCTAATTCATCAATTTATCTGTGTTTTATATTTATATAAAATTTTTAATAAATTACAATTTTTTACTCAAAAATATTATATTTTTTTATGAACATATTTTTTAATTATTTCTTTATATTACATACATCAACTCACTAACACAGATCACGATTTATCTCAAAACTATAAATTACTTATAAGTCACTACATACAAATTATTCACCAACATAATTTTCACCCATCCTTCACATATTTATGTAGCACTGAACCATGGAAGCCTCTTATAATACTTGGAGCAGAAGCAGAAGTGGAGTAGCAGCAGCAGCAGTGGATGACATTGGGCAGGTGTGGTGTCACATTACTAGTGGAGGACAGTAGTAGTATTTGTGCCCTGCTGTGGGGTGGGTGAGGGGTGGGTAGGACAGAGAGAGAGACCCTGGCCCTAGTCACTCAGCACAATGGAGGACCCCTACCCTGCCCCTGGCCTGGCAGCTGAATTTAGAGGAGAGGTGGAGAATGGTGCGGTGCGGTGCGGTGCTCTCTGCTCTGCAGGCAGAAGAGTACAGATTAGAGTGCAGTAGTAATTGGTGTCAGAGGCCCACGTGGCGTACTGGGTACATTACGTGGTGTCTGAGTTGAAGGGGACAGCCGATTTTGCGTTTAGTTTTGCTTCCGTTGTGTGGTGGCTCGGGTACCTGGGTTGGCTCGGGGTAGGGTGAAATCTGTAAATTGACGCGGCTTGCGTGGTCAAGTGGGCGGTGGTGGCAGGGGCGCGGGGAGGGGATGTGGGGTCCTACACTTTGTGTCCTTTTTCTGTGTCTCGAGTGTTCTGAGTGAAAATTTTGTAGGGTAGAGTGTAGTAGGGTAGGGCAGTAATGGAAGTTGGTAAAAACCAGACGGAAGCACTGAATATGGCAATAGACCCGCTTGTTGCGAATGACACGTGTGTGATGCTTTGGTTGGAAACTGGTTTTTGACTTTTTTTTCTGATTGATTGACACTTCTGCCCTTCTGTATGTCTCTTCTGTACCAACACTCGATGCGTCTCTTTCATTGGGTTTGCGTCATCAATCCTTTTCTTTTATTTTTATTTTTATTTTTATTTTTTTTGTTCTATGAATCATTTCTGTCTAATTCATCGTACAGGAAGTTCCCATGTTGCTCTCCCTCTTTACCCCAATTCTTACGGAACCCTATTAGTCAGATCTCTTTCAGCAGTGACAAGCTAATAATTTGTGAATTGCGTAAATAATTTGTTTTACTGACAAAATATGTCACGAGAAAGCACCAAAGAATTTTTAAAGAATATAGACGTCATTTCCCTTGCAAGATGAGCGGATGGAGTTACATTACATATTCGGTCTTCCTTTGCATTACTCCTTGTTATTTTTTAGGAGTTACTGACAGTAGCTGTTAAGAACCAACCACCAAGCCAGCTTGGTTAATGGATTGGTACGTCAAGAGTTTAAATCTTATCCCCCATCAATTGTTACGATACGTGATTTTCTTAAAAAAATGTATACGAATGTATAGTGCATCCGTTTGGTCCGGTGGTGATTCAATTCCCATCGATCCCCCATAAGTCCAATTGAGCCTCTTCCTTGTATTTGGATAGAATAAAATAATATAGAAAATTCATATGGGTGCATCGTCTGATCCAGTGGTGGTTCAATTCCCATCAGTCCCTCATAGGTCCAATTAAGCCTCCCCTTAGATTATGATAAAATAGAATAATATAATAAAGTGATGATGACAACAAAAAAAAAAAAAGTAGCTATTAAGGGTGCAAAATGAGAACAGTTAAATCTTTAAAGGTGCCAAGTAGAATTAATCTTGGTTGCTCTGCCTGTCAAAAGCTAGAAGAGTTTTTTATCCAAAATAAGTAAACTTAAACCACCCCCCCCCCCCCCCCCCAAAAAAAAAACAACAAATGCCCCAAGAAGGAAATTAGAAAAAATAAAACAAGGGTTTGTCTATGTATGAGCACCTGTTAGTATGTATATCACGTGTTAGATTTTGAAACGATAAGATTAATTACGAAAATTATATGAATACAAAAGAAGGTATTAGTTATCAGTGTGTGTACATATATGATAGGATGGTGGAATCATAAAATAATAAGAAATTTGTGAAGAGGAAAGAACAATTAGGACTTTTTTTTTTGGGGAAATAAGTAGGACGGACTTGAACCTACCTCACTAATCTTAATGTAGCCTATGCTCTATCAATTGAAATGTGAAAGAAAAAGGTGCTATGCAGCCTAAACTTGTATTTAAAATTCCGGAAAAGCAAAAGCCCTGGCACTTACTTAACCAAACGAAATCAATCTGCTACGTTTGGCCCAAAACAAAGAAAAAGTCCCAATGCTAGGCGTTGCTCTTCAATTCACAGACAAACCAATGGGCACGGAGTCCAAATACTTGTGCATTTTTTGCGATCAGCATTGGGCTGGACTTCCATCCAAAGATGTTCTGGGGGATCTAATCTAAGGTGATCTACGACTGCCCCTCTGCGTGTTAGTGGATCAAAACCCGCCCCACGATTTTAGCCACTCAATGTTGAAGGTTTTCAGTTTGAAGATTTTAATATTCTGAGTAAATCTTATATGCAAAATATATACACAAGGGAAGTGATATTTATACTTCCAAATTAGTCTCTTGCACTCTTGGAAAACAAAAAAAATGATTAAAAAAGAAAAAAGATGCATGAGAGCCCTGCACCACGCTATTAGCATCCAAGTAAAAAGTCAAAAATAGTGGTAGGTCACCCCCGAAAACAACAGCCTCTTAAACATTAATATGAAGGGCAAAATTGATAAGTTAACGAGGAGGACGGAGAGTCAATTTGGAACTGCAAGGAGGTCACGAGGCTATTCTAATCATACATCCTTGGACGCTCAAGTGCATTAAGTTTTATACACGGGCTTTCCTAAATGCTACGTATTTCTGATACTGCTGCCAAAAAAAGAAAAAAATGACACAGATTTACAGCAATCTTCCCATCTGGGACATTCATATCCAAAACAGCACCTGGTTAAAGATTAACTTAACAGTTCTGAGGGTATTGCTATTTTGTGGTATAAAAAATAGAACTTTCAAGCCAAAATCATGCAAATTGACACCAGAAACGAATGGTAATGTACACCTCATCCAGCCAACAAAAAGGGATGTCAAGTATGGCTGCTAATAGCTAGCTGATCATGCAAGCAAGCTTGGCCCATTTTCAGCAGCTGTGCGAGCATGTTCATGACCATGATGTCTTGTCAATTGCACATCACGGTTGAACTGAGTTCTTGCCTTTGCATAAGGAGCATCTCTTGCAGAAAGATCAAGATTTACAAAGAGCAACTCATTAGAATTGATACTCGCGTATTTATCTAAAACAGCATCAAGCAATACACCTTCTACCGCCCTTTCTCCCCTTTTGCAAATTTACATAGTATGTGCAAGAACATGCATGCGTCCATATGCTCTTTCTGAACAAGTGTGTTTGTGTGTGTGTGTGTGTGAGAGAGAGAGAGAGAGTGTTTGTGTTTGTGATGCATGCAACCTTGTTTGTGGCCCAATATATCTGGTTTTCCATTATGGCAATAGATAATTAAACCAAGAAAGGAAAACCAAAGCACATTTTATGAGCATGGGAGGATCATCAATTTCAGAGGGTACTAACTTCCCATAGTTGCAAATTATTGCGAGAATATGAACTTGAGATGAATGTCCTTACCTCCAATTCTTTGAGCTCGGAGAATATTTTGGCGCCTTTTCCACCAACAAGTCAAGCAGGTTGCAATCAGCAGGAATGATACACATACCCCCAATCCAATGCCAACTCTTGCACCGGCTGAGAGATGAGGTCCACACGTTCGCAAGCCAGGAATACCACAGAGACCAGCATTGTCCGTGAAACTAGAAAAAATCCAGAGTGAGTTTCTGAACAAAAAGTTGCACATCAATTCTGGTAATTCTGTTATTTGATACAGTGCTGATGTTTACTGTAGCTGACACGTAAGAATCCAAATCCTTCAGACTTGACTAGTAATGAATACTTGTTTTTCAAGACAAATAACTTTTAATCATATAACATGACAAAAAACATAGACGGGAAATCATGCAAGTTATTTGAACACGAGTAGTTATTAAAGGTCATAAAACCTTTTATCATGAGGGCAATTTAGGCAAACACAAAAATGTTTACCAAGGAGCTGCTAATATTTTATTAAAGTAGTAATTAAACCAAAGAGGGACAAGGGCAATGCACAGTAAATAGTCATATTCCAAAGGCTAAAGCGCTGGAGGAGCCAGAGGTTAATGTTTTCCATTTTTTTTTGGGGGGGGGTGGTTGGGGGTGTTGGATGGGTGGAGAATAGTAAAGATGTGCATTTAAGAAGGTACTCTTATATGTTGAAAAAAATTTTTTGGGGGGGGTGAGGGTGGAGAACTCTAGTGTTTACATGGAAATTTTTGAAGTTTTCAATGGGATGTTGAAGGATTTATAAAATTTTGGGGAGGCAAAATCAAACTTTGATACGATATAAATGAATACTTCGATTATTTTAAAGGATAACGAAAGAATTCTAGAAATCTTGGGGCCGCTCACCGCCTGCCATTAGATCCACCAGTGGGCTAAAGCAAGTTAACATTCCACACTGGGAAAGTAGCTGCACTGTCATCCTGGGACAGGTATTTACCAGACACTTCAACCTATAGTCAAACGTTTTGAAGACCATGAGACTACAGCCCAGTCATCAGGAATTCATGGTATTGTACACATCTGGCTTATACACATTAAACCAGTTCGCAAGCTAGACAAGGTTCAAAACCAGCAAAAGTTATGGTCTTAAGACTAAGTGCAGCAGCTAAATAGTACCTTGAGAGGCTTCTATCAGTGAAGCATCCCATCCCAATGGGCCGGATTTTGACTGAAACAGAATATCTAGGTCATACTATGTCTGCTATATTACCAAGCATGGAAGGATTTAACCACCCACAACTAGGCCATCCTAGGCCTTGCTGAATATGACTACCCAAAATCAAGCAGATGCGTAATCAGTACCATAGCCTAAAAACAGAGTCAATAGTGAACATACTTAAAGCTAGCTCTGTGCAACAATCTTCCTCCTAATGCAGCTGGGACTCTTCCTGAGAGAGAGTTACCATTGAGATTCCTAAACAAACAAATCCAACAATAGAAGCCAACTCCCAAATATCAATATGGTATTGTGATTGTTCACTAAAACCCACAAAGCAACAAATTTGGATAACCTTACAGTATTCGTAATGAAGTCAACTGGCCAAGGCTTTCAGGGATCGACCCATTAAAGAAGTTGTAAGAAAGATCCCTGTAAACCAAAATGGTCTTCAGCAATCAGAAAGAAAGATCAAAATCAACACAAGCATCAAAAAAGTTGTGCCTCGTACAAATACTAAAGATGCAGAAAGTGAACCCAAAAAAAAAAAGAAAATAAGGATGAAGCAATCAGACCATCCATAATTGGTCCAGTTATCTGCAGCAATTAGATTAGACTGTTTAACATGATAGGAACAGTATTATCTTCACTTTATGACAAAAGAATGACAGTGTAAAATCATAAATGTGGTGTCACTCAAGGTTCACTAATTCTAGATATATATGTGCATGCACACTACAAACAATCACACAAATGATGACCTTTATGATTCATAACGAGTAGCTTTTGCAAAACTGAATTAGAGGATAATTAGGCAATAACACCTCTAACAACCCTCCCCCCAACCAAAAGTAATAGCAATGAAAATGTCAAAATTTGTGTAATATTAAATTCCTATGTAGTATGTATTGAGATAAGAAGCATAGACGGTGACAGATAGAATAAATGCTTGCTTGGAAGTTCCATATGCATCTTATTTGTAAGTCTTTTACTTTGGGACATCAGAGATTAAAAACATGCCAGGCATAAATTTGCAGGATAAAGCTAGTGAAAGGTCTACTGGTTTAAACTTATTACACCATAGTAGATTGCTAGAGATATCTCACCAAACACAACAATTATAGGAACCTAATGAACCATAGCTAAGTAAGAAGAAGTACTACACACACAACCCACATTTAAGTGATATTCTGTAATTATCTTAGTTCGATAACTGGTACTAGTCATTGTGAGATGAACTGCAACAGCACATATCCATGAAGAAGCAACAATAGTTGTTAAAAATTGAGAAATTATTCTTTTAACTTGGTTTTTTGCTCATTTTTGCATCAAGAACAAAATATCAGGTCAGTGCATATGAGCTCACCAACGACTCAATTTCTAAGTAGAAGGTGGAGAGGGAAGGCGCATCCAGCATAAATGTTAAAAAGATAAAGTATATCGAAGAATTTTTGGCCCCGAACAGTAAGCACAAAACTAAATCACCATCTTAATTTTGAGAAGGATGGGGAAAGGGAATCCCAAATGTAAAGGATGTGGTGAAGGAGTGGATACAACTAAACACATGTTGCCCTTTTGCTATTTTGCAAGAGGGTGGAACTGGCATGGAAGGAATTTCAAATACAGACACATGCCTTAAAGGAGGAATGAAGGAATTTCTGGAAATGGTGGAGAAATTTCAGCTAGCAGAGTGAATGGAATAGGTCGTACTGAATTAAATGCAAATTTCTTATGGAAAGCGAGAGATGAACATAACTTTAATGAAGGTAATATAGATGGTAATTCCATAATAACAAAAGTAGCAAAAGAGCGGGGAGAATTTAAATAAGTGAGGAAGCAGGATAAACACGAGGAACACTAGGCTGCTGTAGCTGAGGAGGAAAGATCAATTTCACCATGTCCCAAAATAATCAAAATCAACACTGATGCAGCACTGCACAATAAGAAAATCCAAGCTGGAGTGGAAGCAGTAGCTAGAAACTGGCAAGGGACTGCTAGGAACCTCGGCTATCCATTTAAATCATTCCACAGATGCAGCTGTTTAAGAGGCAGCTGCAGTCTGACTGGCAATGCTAAAAGCCAAAAAAGAAGGGCTGGTGAAGAACTACCATCCAATCTGATTGTACATCAGTCTTCAGCAGAATTAGGGAGGATTACACTAATGAGAGTCTTTTGTCTAATTTGTTAGAAGACATTAACATGCAAAACTACCCTTTTGAGAAAGGTTGGGAACCGAGTCATGGTTTGGGAAAATTTACAACCTTTTGAAAGAAGTAAAGTCAGAGAATGGCTTCCCTCTTTGGCTAAATTAGAAGGCATATATAATTACCGGATACATTATTCATTACACATTCACCACTGGCATTTTGCCAATAAAAAAAGGATGTAAGTTAATAAATGCAGAAGATTTACTCACAGTACTTCTAGGCTAGAAATTGTTCCAAGAGAGGAAGGAATTACTCCGCCAATGCTGTTTCCACTAAAATTTCTGCAATTACACCAATTATAGAGATAATATGATAGACAAAATGATTTTAAAATCAAGGAAACAGAATTTAGTACAAGAACAATTGACATGATGACAAAATAAAGCTCGTGCTTAGCACTTCTCCTTCTAAGATTATGGTTCATTACTCAATAAACATGATACTAACCAATCTTAGCATCAAAATCAACTACTGATCATGCGATGAGATGGTGTAAGAGATGTTATGATTTTGATGCCAATGAGGACTAAATGGAGTTGTAACCGTGCTGCTTAAATAAAACTATAGCTTACATGCTCTGCAGATTGTGCAATTTTGATATGTCAGCTGGCAAAAAGCCCCTCAACCCTTGGTTGTCAAGACCACTGTCATTGCAAAGCAGATAGATTTTAGGAAATAAACATGAGACGTCAATATCAAATAGTAATTCACGGGAAAATCATTTGTGCTGTATCATATACAGAAATATTTTGACTTTTCCGAAGTTAGAATTCAGCATACAAACTAAATCTTAGAAGTACTGCTACAAACCTAAATTTCTTATATACTTTCGCAAGAATCTACGGAAAGATTAATCTCACTTCTTGTGCCTGATACTTTGCTTCAAGCAGACTAAAAATCAGTACAATTTTGGAAAATTGCCACCTTTTGTAAATTTTGTCATCAAGATGTCTCATGAAAAAAGGGGAAACAGTGTATCATGGTCAACAGCATAACTAAAAACCCAAAAGACAAAATTTGTACGATAGAACAAGAAGAATAATAATAATAAAACCAGTGAGATGTACTTTGGGCAAAGGAAAATTAAAATAATATGCAGATGTGGCCATAAATTTTGTTATAATTTGTTAAGTACTTGTATAAAAATAAACTGGTCTAATAACATAAAGTCAATGATCAAGTAAATTTCCACTCTCTGTGCCCTAATCGGTGTAACACTTCTAAGCAGCTGAGCTGTATACTGCTAAAAAGACTGTCCATAATGCCATAAATACAACTGGAAGAAGCCCCACAAAAGAGGTCACTAGATCCCATTCTAAACAATGTTAAAAATCTGACTTATTCAATTATCTTCTCAACCAACTTAGAAGTTTACGTACAGACCAGTGTCTAAAGGTCTTCCAATTTTGCAGTTTTGCTCCATTAGCCCAAGAAATAATTTCACTAAAACTTAGACACTCAATTTAGTGGTGGTAATACATATTTGGGTACCAGTAAAATTTATATCATGAATAAAGGGTATAAAACTTCAATTACGTACAGCCCATCAATAACCCATTTATTTGAAACTTTGTCAAATTGGCAATCAGCTCCACTCCACGGATGCTGCTGGGGAACACAAGGGTCTCCATTCCATCCAAAACGAAGAGGAAGCCCAAGAGCAGTCTTCAATGACTGCAATGCTCGAACTATCACAAAGGAAAACAAAAGATTTCCCAAAAACTTAAAATGGCATGCCTTAGTATAAGGGAAATAAAATCAAACACAGGCGACAACAGTGGTAAACAGCACTATGCAATGACAACATAAGAATGCGGCGACGACTCATGACTAGACCAGTAAACCTACACCCTCAAAAGATTTTCCAACATGAAGACACATAGACTATCATTTGTAACATTATCCCACATGCACTAAGAAGCATCCCAACATACCATGCTCATAGTAAATGAAGGGAGACTAGAGGGAAGAAACATATCTAATTAATGTAAAAGCTTTTAACAAAACCATTTAATCCAGAAAAAAAAACAAATAAAATGTTGGGATGATAGCTATGTGACAACCATTTCAAGGAATGAGAACAAATTCTATAAGCACTATGGTAAATTCCATGTCCCGAGTTATGAAGGATCATGAACAAATTCCAGTTTTTCACTCCTTCCAGGAGATTATGGTGGTCTTACATCTCTCTTGTTACATACAAAAGTAAAAATTATTGAACAAGCCATCCCAAAGCCAGCACGGTAATAAGAACAAAAGGAGAAACTACAGAATAGTTTCATTTTGCTGCATAGCTTGTAGGTAGCCTATGATAGTGTTTCTAGTTGTAAGGGAACAAGGAGATTAGTGTACATGAGTCAAGTGAGCTTTACCCCAAAACAAAAAGGAGGAACTGCAGCATAGTTTCATTTTGCTGCATAGCTAGCATCATAGACCATTACATTGTAGGTAACCTATGGTAGTGTTTCTAGTTGAAAGAGAACAAGGAGGTTAGTGTGCATGAGTCAAGTGAGCTTTACCCCAAAACAAAACATTAGCTAAGAAGACATGGGAGAAAGTGAGAAAATTTTGCTCTGTACCTTCATCAGGTAATGTTTTGGATTCTGCTGCTACAATCTCAAATATCTCAATAGCATTGATTATGGCATGATTACCCTTTGTAGGGTGCAAACTGATTGTCAAACCTCGACCACTAACAGGAACAGTTGTATTCAGCACTAGAGCTGTATTAATAGCACCAGTCATTTTGACAATGTCAACATCTCGAAACACAGCATCACCATTTATCAAAATGTCAAATACCCTTTTCCCTGCAGCAGTTACTGAAGGATCAATTTCTGCAAAATGCAACCAAACTGAGTAGTTTCTGTTCGGGTCAATATCCATTGTGTAGACTAAATCAGGTTGATTATCTGTACTAATAAGAGCAGTCTGGTAGAGAGCTTCAGGATAGAAGTTAGGTGATGATGAGGGTACTTTGATGCTGTTTGTTGTAGATATGGTGTGATCATTACTCTGACCAAAAGTTAGGCGGGAATCCCAAAATCGATCCCCACCCCAACTGTCAGCACTGTAGTCAGCACCAAACTTTTGATGCTCGGAACCACAACTATATCTTTTAACAGTCCTCAGAATTGTCCCTTGACCATGTCCAGGGCCAAAATAGTATGCTCCATCATCAACTTGAAGAATTTCGATTGCCATTACTGCTGGATCTCCGTGACCAGTGCTATGGAAGCAAAGTGATGCAGTCCCATCCTCAAGGAACACAAGGGCTTCGACAAATGCCTGCTCATCATCATGATTGCTCCACCCAGATGGCAAAGAATAAGCTAGTGTTCCTTCTATGGAAACATCAAACAAGGGTTCATTGTTAAAATTTGGCTCTGCAACTAATCCAAAGAAGATCCTAACAGTGTAGTGGCCATGAGGTACTCTATTGATATTGTAACAATTTTCAGGTCCCTCAGATAAAGGAAAATAGCGAAGAGTATCAAGACTTGGAGTTATAAAACTTGGGCGGGTTCCATTAGCTGGTATTCCTCCCGTATATGCAAAATCCTTATACCATAGAGTATTAGTTGGGGAAGTCCGGACATCTGCACGAGCTCCACAACTTATTCTCATCACATATGGTGCTGCAATAAACAAAGGAAATCATGAATCAAATCTTCTTCCATGTCCTTGGCCTATATACACTTTGGGTCTCAAATTAATGTATAAGTAATTTCATGCATTTGTCATAGTCAAAGTTGTTGACTAGATAAGAACTGGAAGAAGACTAGCTCAGATAGCAAGCATGCAGCTATAACAGTTTAACTATTTGCCTCATTGTATGATGGCAAGGTACATCTGTCTGTTTATGTTGTGTTTTTGAGTCTTAACATCCATTGTCACTAATACTCTAGCAATAACTCTTCATTGATCTTCCAAATAAGTAAACACGGTTTAAGAAACCAGTAATATTGTTGACACTGCATTTGAAGTGACAAAGAACTGTGCTTTTTATTCTTCTACCTTACCTTCACTTTGCGGGAGAGAAATAAAAAAATTTAGAGAATTAAGCATGAAAGAACTTCAGAACTCTTACAAAGCTAGTAATTTGACTTCCAAAAGCCCAATTTAGTGGATGAAGATAGAAACTTTACTGGCAAAATACCTCATTTTGCTCATTTCTTTTTTGTCCTCGTCCCCCCCAACCCCTTCTTTCACCTTCTCTTCCCTAATCAATTTGTGTAACCCAGCAAAGACTAACAATACAAAAAACAGTTCCTTTCATAGACTGATTTCCTTCCCTTTTGGGGGAAAAAAAAAAAAACAAAGTGTGGTGAATATTAGGAAAGAATCACAACTTTAAGTAATACATTCCTTAACCACCAACTAAACACTCACCAAATTTTGGAGCTAGTATACAATTTCCTTAACATATCAACTATCCACTCTATTAAAAAAGAATCAAAATTAGCCCCACAGTTACATCCAACACCCCGAGTAATTATCCTACTAAATGAATCAAGAACCTATGTTTCCAAATTATCCAGGTAAAAAAAAATTCGATTTGACCTTTCAGACAACTACCAGCCAACTCACAGAGAGCACTGAATTAGTAAAGAGCACTTTCATCATTACCCCAACAAAGTGCATAATCCCTGGGATTCAAATTTATAAATCAAAGACCCTTTGAGTAATGCAGACTAAATGCAATTCTGGGCTCTATCCACAGCACATAACAAATCAGTTCAACTATAGATTATGCAATAAATGTGAAAAAAGATAGTAATACTAGTTGCTTGCTACTATATAATGAGAAAAAAAGTAAAGTAAGGAAGGAAAAGAAAGACTAACCAGGACGAGGGAATGAAGGTTTGAGAGATGAGAAGAAGCAGAAGGAGATAAAGAAGAGTACGAAGAACCCTCTTGGTCTCAGCATATTGCAGACTTCTTTTGCTCTGCTTTTTTGTTTGGTTTTGTTTATCCAACCTTGTCTATGTACTATGTGGTGCCCATATCACATTCTTCTCCCATTGATCCACAAAGCTTATTCTTAATCTAGTAGTATTTATTTTTCTCCGAGGTGTTTACTTTCTACTAGGAGCAGGGGACAGGGAAGTACGAGACAATGGACTGCGTGTTTGTGCGTGAGAAGAAAGGTGAGCGTTTAAGGGACGTGCGTGCTGTACAGGTAGAGACAGTTGAAGATTAATTATTTTTATTCAGAAGCTGCTAAGTTTTGATTGGACTGCCGCGAGGCAAGCCAGGTTCCCATGGAGAAATTGGTTTATTATGGAAAATGATTCCGTGGAGCTCCAACTATTAAGGAGGTGATTGAAGGAGGTAATTGAAGTAATTATGTCAAGCACTAATGTAACGGTTGCCTCAAACAATAAAATCAAATCAATTTATTTATAAAGGGAGGATTTGATTGGGTGATATGATGGAAGCAACCGTAAATAATTTTGAATTCAATTTCTCTCAGTTGTCAAATTAACAAAAAAAAAAATCAATTTATAGATATCAAGAAAGATTTTATAGCGTTTTGCAAAAAAAAAAAAAAAAGAAAGATTTTATAGTGACTTAGCATCCTGTGTTGCATGTAAAATGTTGCCAATACTCAATTGGATATTAGGTAGATAACACAAGCTCTTTAGTTGTCTCTCAAATTGTTTTTTTTTCCTATATCTCTATAGTAATATGTATTTGGAAATGGAAGCTCTTGATATTGTTATATCATATTTTTCTAACGTGACCTTGCAATTTAGAGGATTACCACTTGATAATTTATTCCATCTTAGCTCGTCTAATCTATTTTATATGCAATGTACACCATTAATATAATTCTAGTATTTTACCAAAAGTTAATATTATTGGTCTTCATTTTGTAAATACCACTTAATTTTCTCCATGCAACTTTTTTGTGGAAAACAAATTATGAAGGAGATGGAGTGCCACTAATAATGCCCTTCACTAGAAAAGAAAAAGAAATATAGGTTTGTCCGTACATTTTCATGTCTTTTAACAAAAAAAAAAAATTATAAGGGAAAGGGCGTGTTATTAACAATTTTCTTTACCGATATATTCTAGCACTTCCATAGAATTAGAGGGTTGTCTCTTGATGATTTACATCACTTTAGCGTATCTAATTTTCTTTTTGCATCTAATTTATTTTATGCTATGTACGTTATTAATATAATTTTAGTATTTTACCAAACGTTAATATTCTAAAATGAATAAGAAAAAAAAAAAAAAAAGCGGCACCCTCATCGGGCAATTGGGTATGCAAAAAAGATCAGAATCTATCACATCATAAAAAGGTTGCCCGCACCGAGTTGGGACTTAAAAATCCGCGTGCCGGGGCCCCGACGCCTCCCTTTGTCCTCCCGTGACCATAATTCGTCGCACAACTCTCCGAGTGGACTTCTGAGTCATTTTCCCATTTAAATAAGGGATAATTTCAGAAATCTCCCCCGAAATTTCTTATAATATCACTTAGCTCCTTTAAAGTTTTTAAAATCTCACTTACCTCCCTTAAATTAACTTTTCTTGTAACATTTTAACCCCTTTGGAAGAAATACAAGAAAAATAAAACTTTTGTTCTACTACTACCCTTATGTTATCCTTTTTTTTATCCCCAAAAATACTATTTTTTCCCCAAAAGTCAGGACCGATTACATAGAGAAGACCAAAGGAAAAATCATAGGCTAACGCGTAGGACTATCACTCCCGTACACATTGAACCCAAACATTCGAGAATTCCCTACTATCCAGTAGAACTATTGCCCTTACCTTCCCTAGGAGGCTAGCAAAGGATGTAGCGACCCACTCCCTCCCCAAGTTGGATCCTGCTAGCTCATTGGCTGCATGGTTCGCTTCCTTAAAGCTGTGACAAACGGAAGCAGAGTATGACCTAACTAACTCCCTGATCTGTCGGACAAAATTGCAGAGAGGCCACTTAGCAGAATTCCTTGTGTTAACTAGATTGACCAGCATGAGCGAATCTGCTTCCACCATGAGTCTCCCCTTGAACGCTACTGAGCACAATCTGAGGCCATGGAGTAATGCCAGACTTTCCGCTATAATGACGTCCGTCTCTCTGAACTCCTTATAAAAAGCAAAGATGACCTTGCCTTCGTGATCCTGAAGCAAGCCACCCCCAGCTTCCCGTCCATGGACAACACTCGCGTCCGTGTTCAACGTCACATACTGAAACGGAGGCCGCTTCCATGAAACCGGCAAGATTTCAACTTTCATCCAACGTGAGAAGATTAGGCTCCTCCATGGATCCTCCGAATCTCCTTTGTAGTGTTGCGGTTGAAAAATTTTTGCCCGCCCTAATTGTACCATAAACTGTTCTATCATGCAGATAACCCTACGAGCGCTGAAAGTCTCTCCTTCGAACCGTGCCCTATTGCGGCCTTTCCATAAAGACCACAATACAACGCAAGGAAATTTGTAACTTGTAAATATCTTGAAAAATTCACACGTATGAATAGATTATTTGAGTTTTCAATACAATTTAAACAACACTATGAATTAAAGCACATTTTCCTAAAAAATATCTTGACTTCCTTAATTGTAATTTGTAACTTAATTGTGCACGAAATCATTTAAGATATTAATTACTCACCAAAATCCTTGCAAGTGGTTGACTTTAATTAGTTTTAATTTATTCATGTCTTTTGCTATTCCACCATGATCCCAATGTAAATAAATATGAACCATTATTAGCTAACAAATTTTTTTTTAATTTACATTTTTTAGTTTTAAAATTTTATTTTGTTTTGACTTTTTAGTTAAATAGTTATTAAGAGCAAGGGCAATGTTGTCAATTTGTGACATTTGATTTAAATATTTAATCTTGTCAAGTTAATAATAGAGGTAAGTGAGATTTGGAAAACTTTAGAGGAGTTGAGTGATATTATGACAAATCTCGAAAGAGTTTTCTGAAGGTATCCCTTAAAATAATCAAACCTTCTGTTGCAAACAAAGTTCCAATTGCATGAATTAATGCGCCATCAACGGTGCTGCCGTTATCCGCAATGTCAACATGAAGTTGGTTTATTTCCTTTCTTTTTCTTTTTTCTTACCCGGATTAAAATTATAATTGGCAAAAATTATGCTTGCTATCTTTCTAATTTCTTTGATAAAGTTTGACTTCTTCTTCTTTTCTTTTTTAAAATTTTATTATAAGGCACTGGGTTCCTTTCCACACGTAATTATCTGATGATAATTACATATTGCAAAACTTTATTTGCTTATATTATCAATAAATTTTCAACCATTTTTTTTATCTCACATGTATCACATCAAAAAAGTGCTGCATTATTATTTTTTAATTATTTGAAATAATTTATTGTCTAAACACGCTCATTGTCTCTTTATTGCACCATAAATTTGTAAACAATTTCATATATACCAGTGATCTTTCACTTTGTATGGGTTCTTAAATAGTGAAGAAGAAAAGAATTTGATGGTTAAATATTTACTTTGAAAAATTGTGGAAGGTTATCGGCTAGGCCTGTCAATTGAGCCATTTGAGATGGGTTTTAATAAGTCCAGACTCGATTCATATAGTTAGTACCAATTCAAATTATGAGTTTCAAGTTAATAAATATGAAATTCATACTCAATTCACAAAATATTCGAACTATGAGCCTAATTTCCAAACTCACTTATTGCTCATTAATTTCCTTAATATAATTGCTATAACTATTAAATTTTAAAGCTAATTTAATATCCACTAGACCACAATATTAAAACTATACACAATCCAGTAACAATTCATTAAAAAGTATATAAACCAAGAAATTTTCAGCAATAACATGTCCAATTAGTTCAATGTACATGAAAAATAGTAATAAAACATGATCAACAACCAATATATTTTCAAAAATCCTTAATTCGCTTGTATTAAGATTTGTTCTCCTGAATCTTTTGACATAATTTTGCATATTTAACATTTCTTCTATATTATTATATTTTGACACACAACTCATAAATATTAAATTCTAATATTATACACAGACACATACATATATGCAGGTTTAAGTGCCAAACTTATATCAGGTTTGAATCTAATAAAATCAAAACTCGACTCTCATTTAATTTGAATCTAATATTTAAGTTCAAACTCAACCCAACTCAAATCTCTTGGTTGAATATACTCTTTGTCCTTGAGGGTCTCTCTTTAATAGCTGTGCAAAGTAGCTTTGAGGGTCTTTGAGGTTTCAGTTAATAGCTGTGCAAAATGGTAAGCTGCCGTGGTGAGGAGGAAAAAGAAGAAAAAAAAAGGGCGATAAAAGTAAGAAACTACAGAAGAATTACTTTTATGCACTTACGTTGATAGACATATTCGCATTATTTGATAGAATAAATATATACGAACTACACCGATGGTCTTGCCATTGAACTTGTGATACAATAAATGTTAAAGGGTAAAAAAAAAAAAAAAAATTTTGTTAACAGGGAGCCTTGTTTGATTAAGCCACATTCTATTGAAAAGCTGCACTTGTAAGTTGTAGAACCCTTGTAAGGCTAATTTACGTTCTCACATAAACTTGCATGCTTCTCCACAACAGCATAAAAGGACACTTTGATGCTTCGGTCCCAATGTAGTTTTGTGTGAACCCCCGTAAAACAAGCCCGTTTGGATTGCTATTTTTCAGAATTTTTGTAAAAGAATATATTATAGCGATTTGATATATACGAAGTAAAAAGTGATTAAAAAAATATGTTTATAAAACACGTAAAATTTTTTTGAAGAAAAATTGCTTTCTAAACAAGTAAACTACGAAAAGTGAATGTTCAACTCATCTTGCATATTAAAGAGCAGCGTGAAATGGCCATAAACATACGTAATGCTTCTCATAGTATTCACGTAACCTCGATGGCGAAACAGGAATTCGATCAAAGATACTTACTCTATGTGCAGCAGTATATGCTGATGTGCCAAATGAATATATTAGAATATATTTTCAATGAACATACTTAATTTACATAACAGAGTAGTTTTTTCACGATGGATCTGCCAAGTATTGTGATGATATCGTGCTTTGTTTCGGTAGATTCAACATATTTTGAAGTTATCTCTATTTTATAAAGCATTAATTCAATGTATATTTGTGACGCCCCGGAAAAAATGAGTTTGAGAACCCGAAAATTTTCTAATTTTCTAGGGTTTATTTATTTAATCGCCCGCCTTTTCTACATTTTCTTGATTAGAAAAATTCCCCAAATAAAGTTTATGAGCAAAGATAGTTTTAAAATGATTTTTCTAGTATCGGTTAGTTTTTGAGAAATTAAGAGCGTATTTTGAACGGGGGACCCGCAAGTGCGGTAAATGTAATATATTTTTGATAACTTGTTGGAGTTTTGTGCTAAGTGATATTTTTCTACAAGGTGTTAAGAGATATTTATGGATTGGTGTGAGAGGGAACAAAGAGATAGAGATTCATTATTTAAGTGACAAGTGTCGCTTGGCCATTGGGTGGAATTTTTGACTTTTATGCCATGTCTTACCATTTGACTTAATAAACTAAAACTTTACCAAAAATTTGCTCCATTTCCAAGCTTCATGCCCGAACCTCTCTCAAGAAAGGAAGAAAGGAAAGCTTTCATCTTACTTCTTCATTTCTTGCTTCAATCAAACAATTTAACCGATTAAACTTGGATTTGCTCCATAAAAACCTTTCTCTTGGTAGTATTAAGGTGTGTAGTGAAGTGGTTTGAGAAGCAAAGGTGCTAAGTTGGGTCTTTTCTTGGGTTTGTAAGGTAAGTGACTAAGGAACCTTTCCTTTGATCTTGATAATGTTCAATTAGTGATTGGTGGTGGTTGAATAAGTGATTTTATGGTTGATTTCCTGATTTTGGTTGAAAATGATGAAATTTTATTATTTTTGGGGATTTTTCTGTTTTCATATGGATATGATTGTGTGGCTATATATGATGATTGGAAATGATGTTTAAGGACTCTATGAGGTGGAAAAAGTGATTAATTGCAATCAATTTCTGTTTTGGAAGAAATTTCAGAAAATCAGGGTTTTGTGATGAACATTCTGTCTGAATTTTTAGGTCCTAGATAGAGGTCGAATTGGCCTTTGTTTAAAACATGAAAGTTGTAGGGAATGACATTTTAAAGGTGCCTACAAAATTTCAGGTCAATCGGAGCAGTGTGGAATGAGAAAAGTCGAAATTACTATTGCTGTTCTGGTTTTACCCAAAATTGAGAAGTGCGTCTGTAATTGGTTGTTTTGGCTGGAATTGCTTCCGAATTAGTTGTTGAGGTCTTCTGATGAAATTTAACCCTGTTTCTTAGCTTTCATCTGGTTTTGGAATTGCTGGATTTGGATTTGGAGAGCCTGAGTTATGATGTTTCCGCTAGAATGCGTTTTGTGAATCTGTTTTTGTGATTCTGGTGTGGTATCTTGCATTTTTGACCTGGTTACACTCGAAACTGGGTTGAGTGACCTTCTGCAATATTGTAAACCTATCTCTTAGCTTCGAAACGGTGTATCTTGCACCTTCATCCGACAATCGTAGTGCCTTTGGTACCATTACCGCAAAATGACGTCAAAACCTGTTTTTTGGTTTTGAGCTTAACTTTCATTTCCGGACTTCTTCCTAGCTTGACTTGTCTTTGTACTACTTGGAGCTTGCTGAATGACTATTGGATGAACTTGTTGTTGTGTGTGTACCTTTGGAACTGGCTGAGAAAATAATGAAGCCATGATGGCTGGAAAAGTAAGCAAATTTAGGGGAAGTGCTGTCCGAACTTTTAAAGGGTTTGATTGCTTTGAGTTTGTGATCTAAGACTTGGATTTGAGCAAGGCAATGTTATATGATGGATGATTTCTGAGCCATGGAGGTGAGTGACCCTAAACTGTTTCCAAAGTTACTTTTGAAATGTTCCTTGCATTGTTTCTTTGGTTTGCATATCATGTGTGCGCGCATACGAGTTCTTGACATGGTTTGGCTTTAATGAGTTCTTGAGGAGTCTTGTGCTGGACACCAACGTCTCCACCACTTTCGTGAGTTTGTGATATGATCTGGAGCACCGATGCTGCTCCCCTTTAATGTTTATGGTTTCGTGATCTGTTTGAGCGTTGGGTGTTTAGTTTCAATGATTTCACTGGCTCACGAGAGCAAAAATACGTGCATTTGATACTTGAATCATGACATCATGACATCATCGAAATGAATTATTGTGAAAGATATTTGATTACTGGTTTTATTTGGTTACTCGCTGAGCTTCTAACTCACCCCAAAAATATTTTATTCCCCTCCACAGGGCTCAAGGCGAAGGCAGGACTTGTTGTGCTTATTCATGTGAATGGATGGATTATTTCGTGTATGGTTTGAATTTGGATTTCCTTTTGTGTAATAGTTATTATTAGGGATTGTAATGAATGTTTGGAATCGATCGGATGTATACATACGTTCCACGCTTGGAATTAGTTTCCGCTTCGTTTTGTTTATATGTAAATATTGGAGATTTACATTGTAATATTTGAGGTTTATTCTTGTAATATATTTGAGGATTGTAGTGAACGACTGAGTCCCGGCGAGAGTTGGGCAGGCGGCCCGCCGAACCCTCTGGTTCGCCTCAGGGGGAGGTGGGGCCGTTACAATATTGGCAATGCATATTATGTAACAGTGAATGCACGACACTTGATCCAATTCGAATTTAAATTCTAAATTTTGCATATATGCATCTAAATTTATTAATTGACAAACCGTGAATTTAGGAAAATTTGTTCTTTTCACGAGGGAATATCGTATGCGATCATTCTATAGTTCCTTTTGAAAATCATTCCCTCAATTAATTTGAATATCTAATAATGATAATTATGTCCTTTCTAATGCTTGGAATTATTGCAATCTAAGAGTTAAAAATACCTTCTTTTTTTTTTCATAATAAACTCGTGAATTTAATTCAAAGATACGATATCAAAATATCCCGTATGGCATGAACTTACGTCAATTGTTTTTTGTTTTCTCTTTTCTTTTTGGTTTAATAGAAGGCAAAGGCCCATTAAGCGCAAACTAAAAGTATCATTGTCAGACCAATTACATTGACGCCCAACAGACCACTTGATGCGGTTGGATCCGTTGTTCATTATGTGTTTAGATCTTTTTTTTGTTTTTTTTTATTTTGGGCAAACGAGTGCAATGTTTCTTACTTTACTTACTTGTTAGCCTTATCGCCTCAGTTAGAGGTGGCAAATCAACCCATTTAACTAAATTTACCCATACCCGTCCATGAATAGATGAATATGGATATGTTAAATTTTTGTATATGGGTATAAATGGATTAATTAAACCCAATTAACCCATTTAGAATTCTCTTCCCCCCAAGTCTCTTCTTTTCCCCCACCTTTTTTTTTTCTAAATTTTTATTTTGTCATAATGTTAACTACTTTGGTTTCATTATTATTATTATTATTTGTTGGTTTTATCTTATTATTTTATTTTCTCTTAGTTTGTTAATTTGCTCATTTTTTAGCATTACCAATTTATGATAAATTTTAGCCTATTTTCTTATCTTTATAAAATGAAAATTTAAATTTATATATGAAAAAATGTTAGGGGTTCAAAATTTTTGGATTAAGTTTTTATATTAACTTTTACAGTACTTAGTTCAAATTTTTATATTCTTATTATTCAATTATTAAATAATAGGTAATTTTGTGACATAGAGTATAAATGAAAAAAAATTGGTAATTAAGTTTATTGAACATTATAAGTAAATATTTAAAACTAATGATGGGTACAAAAAGTGGTATAAATTGATAACTTCGTTTGCAAAAATGAATTTAAATGAGTTTATAAAAAGTTAAAATAAATGAGTTATAAATGAGTAATTGGGTTATCCAATTCATTTTTTGACTTGCCCATTTATACCCATCTAATTAAATGGGTATAAATGAGTTGACTCACTTATACCCATTACCCATTTTACCCAATCCAAACCCGTCCAAGTCACCCATTTTAACACCTTTCAGCATCTAATTCGACTATTTTGAGTCTAATGTCTCTCACTTACTAGTAAGTCTTTTCGCCTTACCACCTTAGCATCTAATCCAACTATCCCATCTCCCCCGCGTAGAGATTTATTATTCAATTGTGCTTTAAGAAAAATGTTTTATAAAATACATTGACGGTCACCATCTCATCTCTGAACATGTTTTATAAATGAATGAATAATTTGGATCCGAATAGCAAATTATAAGAATGATTCAGTTCTTATTTCCTATTAGTTAGTTCTCGGAACTATTTTAAATAGCTCATAGTTAGAAGATTTCATCATGTTAATCTAGGAAAAAAATTCCATCATGTTCATAAACTTATGCTTATTTGTAGTTTTTTTTTTTTTTTTGGTAAAATTTTTCTTTTAATATAAATGGAAGATCAGGAACTCGAACATTTTTTTGTTTACGCTCCTTTCCCGGCTTATTGCTTAGAATATATGCCAAAAAAAAAAACATCGCACAAATATATTTCTGACACACTTAATTTCTAATTCTATACCGGCCGTGCTGAGTCAGCACGGCCGCGGAATGAATTTTGCAGAAACTCTGCAAACATGTCAGTGGGTCAGCGGCCCACAAATTTTTTTTTTAAATGAGCCTGTCCCAGCCGTGCTGACTGGGCACGGCTGGGGCAGGCAGTAAAAAAAAAAAAGCCTAGGGCCCGTGTTAGTTGCAAACTTGCAATACATTGCGTTGTTGTGCCTAGTAGGTGGGGTTACAGGAGCAAGAAAGACTTTGCATTATTCTTTTACTGGTGGTGATTCATTCCTACACATTTATATGTCTTCCCTTAATTAACTTGCAATTTTTTCAGGGATCTGTTTGGATTCAGCATTTTTCGAAAAATAATTTATTCATTTACAATGCTACGGTAATATACAAAAAAAACTCAAAAAATACAATATCCAAATAATATATCAAAAATAACTCCAAATATATAAATATATACATTAATATATATTTTGTATATTTGGAGTTATTTTTGATATATTCTTTGGATTTTATATTTATATAAACTCCAAAAATACTCCTATATAAAATATTTTTTATATTTATATAAACTCCAAAAATACTCCTATATAAAATATTTTTTATATTTATATAAACTCCAAAAAATACTCCAAATATTTTTTATATATAATATTTATATATAAATATATACATTAATATATATTTTGTATATTTAGAGTTATTTTTGATATATTATTTAGATATTGTATTTTTGGAGTTTTTTTTGTTTATTACCGTAACATTGTAAATGAAAAAATTATTTTTCGAAAAATGCTGAATCCAAACAGATCCCTGAAAAAATTGCAAGCTAATTAAGGGAAGACATATAAATGTGTAGGAATGAATCACCAGTAAAAGAATAATGCAAAGTCTTTCTTGCTCCTGTAACCTCACCTACTAGGCGCACTAGTAGTTACAGCAGCTAATGCACAACAACGCAATGTATTGCAAGTTTGCAACTAACACGGGCCCCTAGGCTTTTTTTTTTTTTACTGCCTGCCCCAGCCGTGCCCAGTCAGCACGGCTGGGACAGGCTCATTTAAAAAAAAAATTTGTGGGCCGCTGACCCACTGACATGTTTGCAGAGTTTCTGCAAAATTCATTCCGCGGCCGTGCTGAGTCAGCACGGCCGGTATAGAATTAGAAATTAAGTGTGTCAGAAATATATTTGTGCGATGTTTTTTTTTTTGGCATATATTCTAAGCAATTAGCCCTCCTTTCCCCGATAACACCAAACTCATCTCTCTCCCTATTTATGGGTTATAGGTTATCTTGCTTGACTATGACACAAGCAAAACAAGGAAATGTTTGTGCTAAAACCTAAACCACCCCTGCAATTCAGAATATACTAATTTGGCGTAAAAGAAAACTGTGATGATTTCCGAACATAATAGTCAAGCTGGCGTAGCGTTTCTACTGTCAGCCAGTACGGTGTTGAAGTTAAAATAAAGTTAAATTAAAAACTATTTGAATGTTAGTATGGTACATTTATATGGTAAATAAATTAGAATTGCTTAACCATTTAGAAAAAAAAATCATAAATAAAACACGCAACCAAAAAATCAAAAGAGTCAAGCAAATTGTTATTAACACTTTCCTCATTCCGAATTCTAAACCTTTTTATTTATTATTTCAATTACAGATTGATCACAAGGGGTGTTATCAATAAACTGAAAAAAAAAAGAACTAAAGAATCTTTCTGCCAAATTTTTTAAGAGGTGAGAAAATCAAGAGTAATTAATGAATTGCCAATAAAAGCGAATAATTCGCAAATATGGAGTTGCACGCACGACTCCATTGCATGCGAGACATTCGTCCGCCAAACCTATAACTGATAAAGCTGTCGAAGCCTCGCTCGTCATCCGGTCCACCCAGCCGTCAGACCCCCGCTCGGTTCTTGCAACATGATGCCATTTTTCCTCCTCAAGCTCCAACTTCCAATTTCGCCTCCTCTCCCGCAAAAGTTTTCCTCCGATGACTCTACGTAGCTTCTTTAATCGACTAGGTTGTCTTTTATATTTGCGATTTCTTACCCTGCCCCCAAATTTTTGGTTCTCTCGTCTCGTCCACCGTTGAGAATGGCGGCGGCGGCGGCGGCGGCCAAGGATCCGTCCTCTGCGGAAACAAACTCCGAGGCTCTTTCCGACGAAGACATAGAGTACGAAGAAATTGAGGAGGAGATTGAGGTGGAAGAGGAAATTGAAGTTGAAGAAGAGGAAGAAGAGGTCGAGGAAGAAGTCGAAGAAGAGGTCGAGGAAGAAGTCGAGGAGGAAGTAGTAGGAGGAGGAGATATCAAAGGAGAAGTAGATGATGATATTGATAAAGAATTTGGTGAAGAGTTAACTCCAAGTAATCAAGTAAATGATCAAAATGGTCAGTCTTTTCTCCTCTGTCCTTTCAACGTATGATCCTAATTTACTGGGTTAATAGTAAATTTATTTGCTTAGTGATTGGTGATTCTGTGATAATAGGATTTTGTTGAATTTTGGGTGGGTTGTTCTTGTATTTATCTTTTTATTCATCTAAATTTTACTCATGTAGTTGTATGACGTTGTATTATATTGTCAGTGGCTATCATTCTGTTTCCTTATGATTTTCATTTTTGAATTACATTCGACATCGTCTTATCGTCTTTGCTGGTCAGGATTTGATTCATTAGTTGATTCATGACGAGCATTGGCTTGAAGCGTATATATTCTGTTAGTTGTTATTAGAAGGTTACGGATGTTTGCCGACTGACTGTATGTGAATGTATTCACTTTCCATTGACTAATTTTTTGTCAGAATGCAGGAATTGGTTATTTGCACATTCTGATTCTATTGACTAATTTTTCATCAAAATGCAAGAATTGGAGCACTCAGTTGTCAGAAATGATATCTAACATTAGTTCAATCTGACTGTGGTTTATCATAAGGGACTATTTTTAATCATATAAAATTTGCAAGGCAATTGACTTAATAAATTATTAATTAGGTGTTCAATCCTGTAATGAAATTTGGAGAGAAAATGCACATTGAAACAGTTAAGGAGAACATAAATTGCTCAAACTGGATGAGATGCAACTAGTTCATTTCTATGTTTGCGCGGCACATATTGGTCTGTTCACATTCCCTGTTACGTGTTTCCCTTCATAAGTATGGATTTTGAGTGACCATCTTTTTCCATCATGTCTTGCCCCGCTGTTGTTATATTGTAGGATTAATGACCCTTTTAAGCATCCCTTGGCATAGTTGCTCTTTACACATGCTTGGATGTTTGGTTGCTGTCCCAATGTCCATAATTGCATGTGAAATTTGTCCAGCCCTGAGCCAAAGCCTAGAACTAGCCTTGTGCTGGACTTATCTGTCGTTTGCAATGGGATTTACAAATTTCAAGTGGATGTCTTGAATCAGAGTTGAGCTAATTCAAAGTGCTATAGATTCCAGGGCCTTGGGGAACTTATACTTCAAGACAAAATGAGACACGCATATGTGGATTTTAAGGTTGTTTAGTGATCGGTTATCCTCTTTTAGTGGTGAAGGTTTGATTTCAACTATGAAGGATGAAGCTGGAAACTCATTTGTCAGTTGCATTTATCTATATGCAAGCATGATATAGAAGATTAGAACAGGGCGTACTTTATGTATAAATTGTAGGGTTTGGCTTTTTTTCTAAAAGCAGAAGAGATTAGTCTTGGACATAGAAGTAAAGCTTGTCAGAGTTAGAAATGGTATTTGCTTTAGCGTTTTAGTTTTGCAGACATTTGGAAGATGAGTGAGAGTACTTCATAGAATGCTTCTGTGAAGCTTCTTCAGTTAGTTCATATTAGATGGCATCTTAGAACTCAATGTTTACTCATTTGGGGTACAATGTACGTCCTTCATTTTTCCAGAAGAAAGGTTGATGGAGTAAAATAGTTTGGATGATTGATGCTACAAGTCTGGAGAGGTGACTTTTATATTTTCTCTTATTTATGTCTGGTGCAATTGTAGATATAGTTAAGAGTGGTCAAACGAAAGATCATTTGGAGCAAACATTTTCCTGTAGTGTTGACTGAGATTATATAAACTTAATGCATTGAGAACCTATAATTATGTTATTGTTTTAAGAGCAGAATTTGACCATTTCATGCTTCCAAGTCAAGCAAAAGCATTGTGGATTGTTATACTCATGAAATTGTGCAAAGTACTTTCAAAGAATACAGTGATAGAGAAACATGATCTTTGGTTGGACCCCTTTTTGATCTGGGGGAACACACTGTTGGTTATGTGCTGCAGAAATAATTCCCAAGATGCTCACGGTAGCTCAGATCTTTTAGATGAAGGGGTGTGAAGAGGTGTGAGACAGTTATGATCAGGTGTCCACAGCACATTGACAAGATAAAGATACTACATCAAAAGAGGGGGTGTTCAATGTGTGTTACCTTTAGATGTGTGGGTACTTGGCTGATAAAGCTTGACATAAGACAAGCGATAAGTTCGGTGTAAGAGTGAGTGAAGTTGTAGCTATTTTCAATGAAGGATCAAAGATGGATCATAATGCAGGCAAATAGGTTTGACTTTCATTTAGCTATGCATGTCTGCCACAATTTGGGTTAAATTTTCTAAAATAGGATAGGACCAACAGAATCATATTCTAAATGGGAAAATGTGGGCTTGACTTGGGATTCCTATGAGAGCATTTACTTGTTATTGTTTCACTTTACTTTGGGTTAAAGTAAATTGTGGAAAATAGATTAAACTTTCATTTAGTTACACATGCCCGTGATAATTTGGGTTAAATGGAGTCGATTAATAGGGTATGGGCCAAAAATGAGATAGGACCAACACAGTCATATTTGAAATGGGAAATCTGGGCTTAGCTTGAGATTCCTATGAGAGCATTTATTTTTTATATTTTTGTTATTTTTTCACTTAACGATTTATTTTATTTTGTCTCTTTTCCTTCTCATCCGACTGAAGGTTTGTTGCTTGCATCAACCTCTTTTCTTATTGAAGTCGTCCTTAAGCTTTGTCATAACGACAAGCATAATCCCACAAAAATGTAAGTGGCAAGTGGAGCTAGAAGCGCCCACTGAAAATGTTAAAATCATACAAAAAGCGAGTGGAGCTAGAAGTGGCAGCTCCATCATCCAATCGCACTATCAATACAAATTCAAAAGAATCGAACAAAACGTCCTTCTCATCCTCAAGAACAGGGGGTGTAAGTGAAAGGAGCTTCTAGTGAGTACCTCAGCTTGACTCCATTTTATCAAAACACAAGGTAGAGCATAAGCTGCTCAAGTAGCAAATGAAGTTGAGCTCAAACTCCACAATTGAATGCACGAGGGCTAGTGAGCCTAATCGAGCTTTTATCATAATTATTTTTTCTTTTTACAAAATTACTTCCAAGCCTTTTTAGAAGAAACCTTGAGTCTCTTATTTCTTTTGTAGCCACTGCCCAACTCTAGTGATTAATCTATTTTGTCGTCAGTCATCCCTCTTTCCCGCTCTTCTTCACTAACAATTTTCATCACTCCCTCTCTGCCATCTCTCTCTGTCAAGGCCTTCCTCAGCTTTCAATAATCAAACGCATAACCATCATGTTAATAATTAAATATGAGTTACTTTGCGGATTATTGAAAAGAAGAAAGCGAATCTTTTAATGTGAGACAGAGATGGTGGAAATTTGTGCCAAAGTTATGCCATGGTATCCTTTCCAATGAGATGTTGTAGATTTGTCTGAGGGGTTTGAATATATTGCTAATTCGCTATAAAGGATAAGGATTAAAAATAAAGAAAAAGTAAGGTAAGCAAAAATGGAGTATTAATGAAACACGGTGATACCATGTTTTAGAGAAATTAGATGCATGGATATATGGGTGGTGACAATATGGCACTTAGCCCACACTGCTAGCGCCCATATTAGTCCCATGACAAATATGAGACTATTTGGCTGTAATCCATATTTTTCAATTCCACATAAATTTCCATGTGAATCACCCATCTGGCCCATTTGCCATTGTGTGCATGTACATAATAATTAATTTCCCAGCACAAGTCCCCTCCTTCTTGCCCATCTATATAAATACGCACACATTTAGTAATCTGCATTAGGTAGATGGCCAAGGTGCGAGGGACTCGCGCGAAGAATTAAATTTACACACATAAGCTAATTGATGGGACTAGCATAGAGGATATCCTCAGACAAACATGTACACTTGTATAATTTATTCCTCAGAAATGGGCAGATGGATGGGACTTGCGCGGGAAGTTAAGACTGGAAAGTAAGAGCTAATTCCCAAGGAGTCACATATTTGTTGTAGGACTAATAAGGGGAGGTGTATATGTTGAGTCAAGGCTCCTTAATGTAACTTCTTTCTAGCTTATCCATGAAAGAGGGAGTAGAGGTTCCTCAATTGTCTGTATTTTATGTTATCAATGGAGTTTTTCCAGATTTGTAATCTCTCATAGTGCTGTGGTGACCCTTCTCATTCTGGATAGTAGTTCCTTACAACTAATGAGGTGAAAAGAAATGTATAGAAAGTTAAATGGTCAGTTTAGGTTGGATGGTTTTAACTGCTCTATACTCTAATATAATGAAATGTCTAGTGAAATTGGAAGAAATCTAGGCATCATTCCCAAGAGATAGCTGCATCACGAACTCCTATTCTCTGAAGAAATATTCTTCACCTGTCTCAAAGATGTCAGTAGGATGATAGAAGTACATAAGTAGTTTCCCAAACTTTCTTGATAAACCATATGTACTTCTGGACTCCAATTTGGGCACACTCCATAGACTAAAGTGTGCAATATTGCATGCTTTATGGAGATTATAGAATTATCTCTAGCATGAGATAAGGTACGGGTAAAAGTTTTTTGTAATATTATTAGATACTGCTAGATATTTGCCAACTCAAGTTTTTGCATCATAGCAATTTGAAAGTAGATATTCTTTGGGTCCCTTTTTTGGATCTCTTCAGGCTGCCTTGGCCCTTAATTGCTACCTCACAGACAGTTTTTTATGCCAGAAAAACTGCATGAATATTATATAGCTGTAGTTTGTGTTGGTTTAGATGACTAAGTTGTAATTCCTATAAGATGAATTGTATCCTTTTGGGGCCTGCTTGGATGATCTTTTGTATCCATCTGGATGTATATCATCCTTTTCTCTTTGTTGAAATTTCTATAGAACATAAGCTGTTTGGACGTAAAGTGAGCTAACGCCACTAGAAATAAACTCATTGAAAAGAAATCAGGAGTACGAAGGTTCTAGCATTTGAGGAGTAGATGCCTGGATCTCCTTTTAGAATTGGGTGCGTGGTTAATGTACTTATTTGAGACTTGAAAATTCTGAGAAAGATTGGAGTCAGGTTTCGTGATTTTTCACTGTAGATGGGCACTCTGATCTTTCTGGCAGAAATTTGACCTCTGAATTCTATTTGAACGAGAAGAAGCATTTTCTGCTTAGTTGCTCTGTTTATGTTTCATGCTCACGTTGAGTCAGCAGATTCATCCCCTTGTAATGTTCTCTAGGAGCTCTACTTTTCTATAATGGAATTAGTTTGTCAGAGCAGATGGCTGGTGTGCTTCGTTTGTTGATGTTCTGTTTCTTCATTTTAGATACTGGCCAAGTTATTGAGCCTGATTGCAATGAGGATCACTTCATACCAGGTTTTGCCACTCCAGGAATATCAGTGGCAAATCTACTGCCAGATACTCATGTTGATCAAGGCTGTGCTGGTGATTACAGGATTTCTGGGTCGAGTGTGACAACTCATAATGAGGAACCTCATGTTGATGGTGAGGATTTTTAGCATCATAATGAATTTTAGGGAGTTCCCACAAGTTTTATGATGCTTCCTTATCATATATTGCTTCTAGAGTTCTACCATAAGAACTGCTGGTTCAAAAATCGTTGTGGGCCCTTGCAGGAAAATTATTTTTTATGGACCATAATAATGGAGCTTCACCATGTGACAAGTGGGGGAGGAGTGGTGATTCTACTAGGCTGCCCGTTCACGAATTGGATGCTGCAATCTCACTTATTGATACTGAAAGTAAGAAGGACAATGAGGATCCCTATTTCGAGAAAGGAACTTATGACATCTCTGGGAAAGATTCAAAAGGAGAGGCTCCAAGGTCAAATAATGCTAGTGTAAACTTGTGTTGGGTTTTAACTTTATAGTTGAGTCTTGTCTTTGTTCTGTCCTGGCTTGGAGCCAGCACTGATTCCTCCTAGAATTTTCAGGATTAGGCCAAGAAGTTCATCTCCTGAATCCGTGTTGAATGATGGAAATAAACGACAAGCAGTTGTTTGTGATTTTTTTGCTAAGGGCTGGTGCATCAAAGGGAATTCTTGTAGATTTCTACACATAAAAGGAGGAGCGGCTATTAGTAGTCACGATAAAGAAGGAACTGTGGATGCTGCAGCAAAGAAAAGTGAACTCCCAGACAAGAAAGGTAATTTATATGTTGTTGTGGTGTGTGAGGATGCTTATATTATCACGTTATTTTCCTTAGGATTCCTTAGTCTTTGTTGATAAACAACTAAAAGATTAAGGCTGCATGATTTTCTTTATATGGCAGCTTCTTCAGTTCAGCTCACACCACATGGTGGAGAAAGCCCAAACAAGAGGAGTGAGACTAAGGAGTTGCCTTTACTTAAAGATGATCGATTGGTGCTCTCTTCCCAAGATTTTGGGCGACCCTCTTCCCAAGATTTTGGGCGACAAATGAACAGGGAGGAATATCTTGGCTATGGTTCGTCCATGGCCAAAGGCAACTCTCTTCATGGAACTTTCTCGAGAAGTTATGCTAGAACCTTAGAAACTTATGGGAGCACAATAGGTACCCCTCACAGTACAAGTTTGGAAGAAATGACTTGTACAAGAAGCAACTTTTTGGCAACTGACCACAGTTTCTCTTCCCTTCATAGGTCTCCTTTGTCTTTCGCTTACCCCTCTTGGAATACAGATTCACTGAGCACTCAAAAGCAGTTAGGGAGTGGTCAAGGGGATTATGCTTCTAGATCTGCTTCTGTCCAACGAAGCTCTTCACCTTTTTCTGGTTCTGAATCAGAAAATGTCTCTCAAACTAATGCTGTTAATGATAAGCAATGCTCGGCCAGGTCTAAGACCAAGACACTTTATGATTGGGAACCATCTGTTCCTTTTCGACCCTCATTTTTTATGACTAGGCACTTATTGTCTTCAGCAAGCCTATATGATCCCATACGTGATAGCGTTGAGCAAGCCAGCTCAGTTGTTGGACACTCAAAAATTTCACAATCTGGTAAGGAAGCTTCAGTACTTGGAGCACACGTGCAGGCAGATGCTGATTCATTTCCAACAGGAACTCTTGGTACAGAATGTAGTTCCAACAAATATTCAGTTCTTTTTTCTGCCAAAAACTTTTCTAGTAAAGATTCTACAGCAGAAGCAAAAGAATCTGTTGGTACTCAATCGCAAAATAAAAAATCTTTTCTGAAGGAAGAGAGGTTTTTGGACAATGAATGTGTCAGAGATGTCATGGAAGCAGATCAAATGCCTATTGATTGTGGTTCAAAGTCAGTAAGCAGTGGGCGACATAGGACGGAAAGTAAAGAAGAGATGTCTAGACAAATGATTGAAGCTGATGCTGATCTTAAAGTAGAGGAATCAAGAGCGTTGAAAAATTTTCATGCATCACTTGTGGAAGTTGTGAAAGAACTCTTGAAGCCAAGTTGGCATAAGGGTGTTCTGAGCAAGGATGCTCACAAAATCATAGTTAAAAAAGCAGTAGAGAAGGTCCTTAGCACGTTACAACCTCACCAGGTCCCAAGTACTTCAGAGTCAGTGAAGCAATATCTTTCTTTATCTCAAACAAAACTTGCCAAGCTTGTCGAGGTGAGTGTGGGAGTGATGATGTATTTGGTTAGAATGTCACTGAAAAATATATTCACTTTTATAGTTATTAATACTTAGATGTGTTAACTGCAGGGATATGTTGATAAGTATCGAAAATCTTCACTTGGCTGACTAGCTGCTCTCACTTTTACTTTATGGATGTTGGTGAACTCTTTGTTTGGAGGCTTTCTTTTTGTCAAAATTTTAACAGCTGGATAAGAGCTGTAAAATGGAGGTCATAATCAGACATGTTTTCATGGACAAACTTGTTCTCCTTGTACATTCAAGTAGTTGTCGTTGGTACATCTTTTCTTAGTTATTGTTTTCTAATCCAACAGCTTGGACCGAATTGTGAACCTGAAATTCTTGATAATAAGGTTTCTCATTATCTGGATGCTTGATGCAAGTTGTTTTACATCTTTGTAGATTGTAGTTATATGGCAACAACTACTTTTTTATTTACTGCACACCAGAAAGTATGAAAAAATAAGTAACAGTATCTATTACACCTTTGGTAGACGTGACCAAAGTTGCTAAGATTGTCTCCTAGCACTGACTCAGTTATTGTATGCTTTTGCTACTTTTTCATTTACGCAACCTAAATCTGCAGTATGAAGGCTTTACTAAGTGAACCTTTGGTAAACGAATTTACATTTACTAAACGAATAATGTCAGTGGAGAGGTTTCTTACAGTTCCACTGACCTTCCTTGAACTTTCAAAAATATCAGGTACCTTACCTGTGAGCCATATGGGCTCCTATGTCAACATCAATACTGATAAATTGACTCTTATATCCTCATTGGTCATGGTTGTCCCCTATTGTTTACAGCCTCGAAGTTAAACTGAAGATAATTTTGGCATCATTCTTAACATAAATGCCATCACAAATTTGGTGTAAGTGTAGGCTCTTGAAACTGTTATGTACCTAGGCATGGATGAGCTCTGTCCTATATTTCCTTGCAGATCTGCGAGTTGTCGATCTAGAGCACTTGAGAGTTTGCTTTTTTCCTGCAAAGGAGGTGCATCGGCTGGTGGGAGATCACTTTACTGAATGAACCTATATTTGGTAAGAGTGCTTCCCCCTTTTTTTGGCTACTGAATGTACCTCTCTTTGGGATTCAATAAGTTTTATTCTATTTTATTTAAGTGGATTATGTCAGATTTTACTTGTTTCAGTTTTTCCTCTTCTATTGTTCTTTCAATAAATTTACTTGATTTATGAGGCTCCTCAACATTAAATAACTGGGCATTTAGATATTTGTTTGTTGGGCTTATCATGTGTACATATATACAGACAGGAAATCGCAGAAGTAAGCTTATCATTTTGCCTGGGATGTTCAGTATCGAGAATTTGATTTTTGACAAATCTTTGATGGTTTATCTGTTAACCATTTTCAGTTTCTATTGCCATTTTTTCGGATAGCAATTTGAAAATGCTTAAATTCTTAAACACAGTCATGGAATGAGAAATGATATGGTAATGAACTTCTGTGCAATATCATCTGAGGATATGACATTTTCTATTGCTAATGTAGATGATATGGAAATCATTACTCATATTCTGTTAATTGTTTAGAGCACGTCTTATTACATACTAGTGCTACACTACCTTAAATTTGCATTTTCTCAATTGTGCATCAACTTGGATTGCTTGGAATGGCTTTGTGAAATATTTTGTATGTTTGGTGCCTTTCAAAGTATGTTTGTTGAAATTTAGCTCCCTAAAGGTGGAAGACTGGTGACTTTCAGCAAGCTTGCCATCAAACATGTGTTGGTAAATGAATTGCGTATGGTGTACTGGTGAGTTGCTTAGTATCCATGACTTCATGCGTGTTAGTGTTAACTGATGGGTGAAACTTGCTGTAATTTCAAGAAGAGCAAGGGATGCTATATATGTGCTTATGCTTCGACTGATTTGCCTGAGTAATATAGGATCAGCTGTTCTGTGCCTTTTGGTCTTGTCCTCAATAGTTGTAGCATTTATTCCCTCAAAGTAGTTAGCAACCTTGTATAGGAACACAAGCATTTTGAAGCTAGTAGATTTTGATATTATGTAGTACAAATTTGATTCTACGCCTACTCAGTATGTTGTGCTTTGAATAGCTCTCTCACAATGCTTGGTTCATCACCTGTGCCTGATCCATAGGTTTGTGATCATTGGTGCTGAAGTTACTTATTCAATGAGTTATGACACACTTTATGGGCTGCAATTAGCACTACGCTATTGTATATACTTTGAATCGAATGGTAAATATATATGCTCCATACTAAACAAAAAACATTCCTATGGTCTATGTTAAATATGTATGCTATCCAGTTATACTATGCAAGTGTGGATATTCTGTTGTTCTTTGACTCTAGACCTCATCTCATGGTTTGATCTATGGGTCATGACCATTTGCTTGCCCATGCCCGCTTGTAATATATGCTGGTTGAGCTCCAATTACATAAGCACAGAACTGGGAATGCAATGGGGAGGGCACCCATCCATGTGGGGTGCAACCTCAGGGTTGGAGGGACGAGGACAGGGATGGATGGAAATTATTCCTCTGGTTCCTGCATGTTTGTTGTGAAACATATAGCGTGTATGGTATATTATATGCTTTTTGTTGTTTGCCACAGTCAAAAGTGCATATTATTTATGAAAATTCAAGTTTGACATTAGTTGACAAGAGTTTTTTGACTCGCTTACATTTAATATTGATTTATTGTGAATCCATTTAGGTCAAGGGGAGTCGTATGTGTTGATCTATGAATTCTTCAGTGTGTTTTGGTTATTGCTAATTCTTGCTAGTTTAACTAAGGTTCATTAGTTTGAGATTTGAGGGCAAGTGTTTTGATTGTCTTCATGTTAATCAAGGTGGGAAAAATCGCAAGTGTGGTTATTGTGTCAAGTTTTAGTTGTTTAATCATTTTGACAGTTATTTATTTTTGAACTTTAAAGTAGTTATCCTAATTCCCTTCAAAATAGAATTTAAGTGTTTTTGTGACTAGATGGCCTCTTAAACTGTTTATTTATGAGGAATTTAGTTTTGTTGGGTATTACCATCTTTTCATCTCTACCTTTGCTTTTCTTGGCTTCTGCTTTTTCTTTAGTCCCTAATTGTAGTTTATGTGCATCCTTTATATGGTACTATTCACAGTGCCAAAACAGTCTCAAACTGCTAACAAAAGGAGAGTTTCTGATTGAACATATCCTGGATCACGAGCTTTAAGATGATAATGCAATAGCCACATCCATTTTTACCATTAATTGCTATGCTTTGGCAGAGTAGTCCAAATTTTTCTGCATCTGGTCACTCTCTACTGAATTAGGTTACTACTTAAGATGCTATACTTGAAAGCAGTAATCTGAAAGCTTCAGTTAGTATTTTCTGTGAAATCAAGGCAATGGATATGTAAAACAATTAACCTTCCTTCATGCGTTGGTTTAATTTTGTAGAAAGAGGTTGGCACTTAATTAATTGAAAAGAAAAATATCTCTCAGGTAAAAGCTTAAGATTTTGCAAGGTGCAAATGCACAAAAGTTTTTTTTTTTTTTTTGCAAGAAAGTCCTATCAACACTTCAGCAAACCAAACATGTGCAGAAATAACAACTGTTCTAAGTACTGGATAGAACAAGGAGAAAGCAGCAGACAAAATTTAGGTGCTTATATTGTTGAATGGTGAGGTCATTTGGCAACTTATAGACAATATGATAGTGCAAAGTGCTACATATTTCACGGATACTACAACGTCAGCAGGTTTGTTCCTTTTACCTGCCTTGTGTTGTTTCTCCTGTCGCTGAGACCTGATGCATGAAATTTAAATTACTTGAAAATTGGACTCAGAAGTGAGCTTATAATCATTAGAAACATAATTAATGTCTAGGAGTATCTATTTACCTGTTCAGCATTCACATTTTGTTATTTCTCACAATTATATGATGCATTTTTACTTATTCGTTCTGCAATTTTTTTTTGATGTTTGAGCAAATGAGATCTGATTGAACATTAATGCGTATGCCATGCTGATTGTTTACAATGTACATGCTTGGTTATAAGAAGAGGTGTGCTGAATTGCTTCTCAAGAAATGAGGAATCTTAGTTCTTCCAAGTATTTTGCTCTTTGGGAAATTGAGTTCCTGTTTTAAGCTTGAAATGAGATACAGCAGTCACAGATAAAATTTGATAACATAGAGCAATTCAAGAGTGAAATGAACCATGGAAAGATGCAATGTCGACATATTGGAATGAAATTTTGCTGGAAATGTATGTTGCCTATTCATTGGAGTGCTTGTTGTTTAATGTCGACATATTGGAATGAAATTTTGCTGGAAATGTATTTGCCTATTCATTGGAATGCTTGTTGTTTAATGAAGTTTGTCGGTTTCAATCACACGGCAATCTCTGCATGCAAATGAATTAAAAATTTTCTGACTAAACCCGGAGTTGGTCCACTTCTTTTCTGCTGCAATTTTAACTCTAGTATTTGATTTTCCAGTGCATCTGTCTCGACTTGATTCTTTTGCATCTGATCTCCCATTGTTGATCTGATCTTGCCACATGACTGTCTTGGAGCAGGTTAGTTTGCCTGTTTGAGATTGATTGGGAGGGAGTGCAATCACTTGTTTAAGGAGCTGGCCACTTGAAATATCGGCAGAGTAACTTTTTCGAGGAGTAGCGTGCCCAAATTCAAATTCAGTCGAAGCTGTGTCAGCATGAGCTAGTTGGTGGACGGGCTCCTCTTGAGGCATTAAATTCTGGTTCTGAATGCATACCATGCCTGCAAACGAGAGTGAGTTATCTGAGGTAACATCGGCAGCAACATCCAAAGACATTTTATTGAGTAGAATTAGCTCTCTCTTCTTGAGGCTTTGTGACAGATTGCATTGCAACTCTCTCGCCTTTTTATAGGGAGCTTATGTATTTCTTGTTGGATGCTTGCCTTTGTCCTTCTGCAGATATTTTCTTGGGCTGTCAGGCTTATACCCGAAAATGGCTTGATCTGGGTTTCTTCATTATTTTAATTGACTCAAGGTTGATCAGTATTTTATTCTGTTGAAGTGGATTGCAAGTATGATGCTTCTGTACCCCAGCAAATATGAGCTGTGAATTTGTGGGATGAGCAATATTAATGGACTTGGCGAAGAAAGTTGGTTAAACTGAGGTAATAGATCAAAATGAATTGGGCTTTCATGCTAGTCTAGGAACAAAAGTCTAGGAACAAAATTGTATTTTCCTTCGTGGCCTCATGAAAATGTACTGTTTAACTGATACAGGCAATTCTGTGAGCGTGATGCCAATAAGGCAACTGATTAAAATTCCTTAAAGCTCCTTGAGTTCCGATATGCTGCTTCTGAAAAACAGAACTGGAGATGTTGGTGAAATTGGAATTGTCACATTACCAAGGCACCATGCCAAAATGCGTTGTAAATTATGCCAGAGTTTTTGAGTGATCGCATTGATAGTGTCCAAGATGTGCATGTACGTAGTGGAGTGACTTGAGCAAATGGACAATTCAGAATTGTGAATTTTATTTTATTTAATTTTTCTCTGCTCGCTTGTGGAACTGGATCTTAAAGTCAATCGCCTTCTGAAAATTTGGTCACGAGGGTTATCATACTTTTATTTAGAAACAGAAGATAAACTGCAGGGCAAAGTACGACCTCGTAATAGTCTTCGATTAAAACAAAAAGAAAAGTCGATAATACCAACGTTGATGCACATTTGTTGGCCTTTCTCACAATACTGAGTAGGTAACTTCAAGGTTATAATTTCTGTGATTTTTTCTCATATGTCATATGGGTTATGTTTTTCTTGAAGAACGGTTTTTTTTTTTAAAAAATTTTATCCGGCTCATATTTTGGGTTGTTATGTTAAGAAAATCATTTTTGAAAAAGTTGATGCTGTTGTCTGCACGCATCAAGACACAATCCTTTGGATGGGAATGAATCACAGCGTCTTATGGCTTCTTCCTTAGGTGAATCACCTGGATTTTTTTTCTTTTTTCTTTTTTCCTGGTTTGTGAATTTTTTGAAGATCATCTGATTATTCTCCCTCCTAGGGGCTGTACTTTGTTTTTTTTTTTTTTTCGGAAACCGAAAGAAAACACACACACGCACACGGTTAGATTACACTCAGAGTTAATGGATAAACCGGTCCGAAAGCAATCTAAGGGAGACCCACAAAGAACTCACGTTAAGCCAATTGGTGATAGAACGAGGCCCCTGTAGACCTTAACCCCAAAGTAACTATCCTACGATCTTCCAATGTGGGATGGTGTCCCAACCCCCCTCGCACACCTTCGCACACAATTAGAGGCTGCACTTTGTTGCTTGACGAAATTTATATTATTTAATGCAATGTTTTAAAAATCGGACCGTTAATTGAACCGGTGAAGTGAAAGGGTCGAGATTCAATCGGTCGAACCGGTTCAACCCTGATTTAATGAATTTTTTTAAAAATAATATATATATATATATGCACAAAATAAGACATGTAATGGACTAATTTAATACTTTATATGATAAAAAGTTTACTATTTTTTAATAACTTGGATTTTTAAAAATAAATTTTTTAAATTATAAGTTAAAACAAATAAATTTCATCTCAATTTCAATTATATCTAAATCCAACCCAAAAATGTCACAATGTTTTGAAATTATACAAAATTCACATCTATGAGAATTTAGATATTGTGAACTTAAATTTTAATTTACGTTTTGGGATTTAGATATTGCAGTTTAAAAAAAGAAGTTTGAAGTTCGAAGGAAGTCAAGAAAATCGAAAATAGAAATGTAAACTTGATAAGAAACAAAAAATGAGATAAAAGTGAGTGGTTGTGGCATTAAATAATTTGGGTTAAAGAAAAATAATTCTTTTTTAACTTCTTTAAATTTAATGGACAAAAACAAAATTAAAAGATGGAAGAAAACATCAATAAATTAAAAATAAAGAGGTTTGATTAAAAAGGGAGTGGCAAAAGAAAAGATGATAGAGAGATAGACAGAGAGTTGAAGATTAAAAAGAAAGAGCATTGAGAGGATGAGGTTTTGTAAGAAAAATGGAAAAAAAAATATGAGTGTTTATTTTATATAAATAAGTTATAAAAAAAAACTAATAAGATGTGATGGTGCAACGGTTAATAAATTGGTTTTCTATTACAAAGGTCTTGGATTCGAATGTTGATAGTTGCATTTTGCAAAACAAAACAAAACAAAAAAAAAAGTTGAAAACCGGAAACCACCGGTTCAATTCGGTTCGACCGATTTTTGATTGATTTTTTGTCAAAAATCAACTATGACATAGAACCGGACTGGTGCCATGCCGGTTCGCGGTTTAACTGGTCGAACCGGCCGATCCAATCCAGTTTTCAAAACATTGATTTAATGTGACTTGAAAAGAGTAAGCAAGGGAGGTCATTTCTAGGTGACAGATGTTGGTAAATTGGGTGCGGTGGTCCATCCATTTGGTTCTTGGCTAAGTCGTAGTTAAGCCCGGCTTTCCATTTCCAAAGAGCTTGAAAATGATCAGGCAAAAAACAACTCAATGCCGAGGAAGAAGACTTCACCGCCGCCAAATGGACCTCAGAATCGTTTGTAGACTGAAAAACTTAATAAAGAATTCAGAATTTAATAAATACTTCTTTTTTTTTTTTGGACACGATATAATCTGTTTTAAATTTACTTCTATTTTATATTAGAGGAGGAGGGACCTAAAGGGGTCCAAAGAGAACTCGAAAGGAACTAAACCATCATCGCCTCAAAAAGGTGGCTACACACCCGCTAGTAAACTTTTTCAGGAAAGTTTGAATTTTTTAAAATGCAGATTAAGAAATTTAATCTTTTAACCTACATTCAAGTTAGATTTAAAACTTTCAGTAGGTAATTGGTTAAAACTTGATAAAGAATTCGCCTTCCACAGATGGACGCTCAATTGCGTCGTACCAATAGCCAATTTAATAGCAGTTGAAGTAGACATTTGACCCACTCCTTCCCTGTCCTTTTAGAATTTCCACAGTAGAGGATTCCCGTTCTTTCTTACAGCTAGTTTCTTCCTTTCATTAGGCCGGTCCAGGAAAGGCCCGCAAATCTGAATACTGGGGCTTATTTGGAGACTCCAACTTAAATATAGCTACACCGGACTTATGGGCTTCCAAGCATCCTGCAGTTGAAGAGCGGGTTGCTGAGACTTGAAAGGCCAGCGAGCCCCCCCTCAGTCATCGGCCTTTTTAGTCAAGGCATTTGGGAAATATTATTTGCATTTCATTTTTTATTAATTACACTTTCAACATTTATTTAATCACATAGTCTAACAAATGAAAATTATATGATAAAAATGATAGTGAGAATATGATTAATAAAAAAAAGAGTGCTATATTTAAATAGAGGCCTATATAGGAATATAATCTAAAACAAGTGAAAATAACACAATTTCTTTTCACGGAAAAGATATAAAAATAAAATAACACCCCTTATAACTATTAGCTCTCTTTGACAAGGTCAGTGTTTTTCTGTTTAATTTACTCAAAGCACTCTGTATTTGATACTGATTTTTCCATGATTTTCAACAATTATGAACTCTAAAATAAATACATATAATTAAATTAGTTAAAAGGAGGTAAATTAGTCAGAATCAGGATCTAATACATTTGTAGCAAAAGTCTTGGGCAGGCTGAAGGAATAGCAGTTATTAAAATGACCTGCCACGGTCACTCCAGCCCCTTCCAAAATAACCTTCGATCATGACAAAGATAAATTCAGCACATTTTAGTGATAACACAAATCAATGCATTGATTGTCAACGTCAGTGTTGGAACATTGCACTCCATCCAGATTCATGGCATTGGGTCCCTAGACAAGGCATGGGCAAAAGGTTATAGAAGTGGCCCGTGATGTTGATTTATTTTATCCCATGGTATGGTATGGTTAGTTGAGAATAACAATAATAGCCTATCATGTAAGCAAAGAAGGTGATGGGATGCTCAATTAAAAAAAATAATAATAATGATCAATCCCATGATCTCATGAATTAATTTTTTTGTATACTATCTACGTTATCATCATTAAATATATATAATTATTTTAAATGTGAGTTTAAAATTTACATATGTATTATGCATCTAACTATGATAACTATATGCAATTAATGCATATAGGATTAACGCTACTCTTACTTTAATTAAAGTCAAAACAAAATTTCTATTGTCGGCAACGGCAATTATCTAACATTGTCCGGCAAGAGAGGGGTAGTCTGAAAAAGCTTGTATTGGAGTTGGGGATGAATCACCAGAGTAGTCACTAGTCTTTGTTTTTTTTTTTTTTTGTTAACGACAACTATCTAACCTATTCCCATCTATGGGGAGAGACTAGCCTGAAGAGAATTGTATCAGGGTTAGGGGTCCGATTTTTTTAAGAACAAGAAATATTATTATACTTCTTGTGTAATATATTAGACGGAGGCTGAACCTCCAATCTAGTAAATTGTAGCAAGAAAATTGGCATCGGAAAAGAGTTGGAACCCACTGTCATATTAAAATTGGACTTCAATTCGAAAGGTATCCTAATCAAATTGGATGTAAATAATTGGCACTGTATCCTCCTTTCAAATCGTAAATTAACAGCCAAGTAGTAGTAATTCTTCTGATTTTCTCTAACCTTGGGTGTGATGATGGCAAAGTAACTAGCTCCATCGTGTCACGTGGATAGCGGATCCCAATCCCAAATCACTCTTCTCTTATCAAAATCATTTGTCAAAAAAAAAAAAAAAAAAAAGACTTCCTATTCTGCAGAAACCAAAGAATAGGACAATATTGAACAAGGAAAGTGACATTTGTACTGGCAACCCTCCACCTACGCTACCGCTAATCTATTACGATCTCAAGACTGATAATATCACAGCGGTCCCACATTTCCCCCTAGTCTTCAATCTTCATCCTTATCCACATTGATTTAATCCACCCACTATTTTTCTTCCACTTAGCAGCCCCTCCGTGTCATGCCACAAACTAAACAGGGCGGTTGTGTTCTGTACATGGGAAAAAAGTCTTGGGAGTCAGCATCTAAATTATTGAAAAAGAAGAAATAAAAAATAAGATATATATATATTTTTTCCTTTTGTTAAAACTAATTTCTGGAGACAAGGAGATATTTTGGCTCTCCCTTCTATTTATTCCGAGCAGTTGAGGCGTTTCATCAATCAAGAAAGAAAAAGCAGAAGAGGAGAAAGGAAAAGAAAAATCAGTAAGCAGCTGAGTGGCTAAAGCCTTGCATTGCGGCAAGATGGTTCTGATAGACAAGCTGTGGGATGATGTTATAGCCGGACCTCAACCTGAACGTGGCCTGGGAAAGCTAAGGAAGCTCCCCACCCAGCCCTTGAACGTCAAAACCGGTACCCCTTCCCCTTCATCATCCAATTCTAAAGCTTCAACTTCTACTTTTATAGTGTGTGTGTGTTGTATATTTGTGGATGTCAGTTTCTTTTGTTAGAATATGAATGAATAAAGGCCTACCTGCATGGGTGAGCTGGTATAGAGTACATCTTGCAAGTGTTACAGTCACTTGCAGGAATCAGCATGATGATCTGAATCTCTGCCATGAGATTCTCTGTTTTTTTTTTTTTTTAAAAAATTTTGACGATGATCACTTTGTGTACTAGTTCTATTATGTGTGACAAATACTGGGCATGTGGTGTTATTGATTTAGATGGGGGGGCAGGTGAAGCTAGCAGCAGCAAGTATCAGAGGTCCATGTCTATGCCACCCAGCCCTGCAACCCCGGCAACTCCGGGAACACCAACCACTCCGTCGCCGACGGCAGCCCGCAAAGAGAATGTGTGGAGGAGTGTTTTTCACCCGGGGAGTAACATTGCAACCAAGGGGCTTGGATCAGATCTGTTTGACAAGCCTCAGTCTAACTCTCCCACTGTCTATGACTGGTACTTGTTTCCCAAGTCGCATGTAAATTTATCCAGATCAAGATAAATATAACTCGAAATTGGGGGAAAAAAATGGGGGTAAATTAGTGACCAAGTTGCATGTCCTAAGCAGAGAGATCGGTAATTTTTTTTTTCCTTCCCATTTGATTCTTTTTTTTTATTTTGGGAAGATCTTCCCATTTGATCCTTGGATCCTGGCTTTTTGGCCCCTCATGAAAACTTGGAAGTACCTATGATAAAATCTGTAGTACAAGTTGTCAGATCTAGAGTACTCATATCGTTTTTTCAATTAATGAACTATGCCAACTGAACAGACTTAATATATGCCTCAGACGGAGCCTCGCCCACCGTCTCAACTTATGGAGTAGTGTTTTCATTTAACATTTCTTATGGAGAAATTTACCCAAAAAAATGACAAAAAACATGGAAAGGGGAAGGAAAAATGGGAAAGTGGTTTCAAAGTTGCATGTCCGAAGTAGAGATCTGCGCAGTATTTTTCATTTGACTCTTGAATCTTGGCTCTCTGTCCTAATAATCTTCTTGATGCATGATAAAAGCCTTTAGCACCAGTTGTCAGATCTAGTGTCAGCAGTAGGACTCTTTTTATTTTGGATGCCCAAATGGAACTGTAAAAAGGTAATCAATCGTATCCATTGAGCATACAAGCAGCAACTTATTGGGGTTCTAAAATTTTTGATTTCTTGATACTATGGAGAATAAATAGTACTTGCTAGTGGTAATCAAGATAACCATATGCTAGTAACTTGTACATAAACCTTTCTCTCTCTGTTTTTTTTTTTTTGTCAAATTTAATTACAGGCTCTACAGCGGGGAGACTAGGAGCAAACATCGCTGAAGCGACTGATAGCCGATGGCTCCTACTACTACTGCCTATGTAAATAGCGTTGGGAGTTAATACTCAACCTCGTAGCTCTCATATGATGTTGCAGCTCTGCAAGAAGGCACCTCAATTAATGGGGTTTTTTTTTTTTTTTTTTTGTAATTATGGATCCATGGTGTCCTTTTAACTAGTTTTCCAAAGCTGACTGCAATGTGTTTGTTTTTCATCTCATCTCATCTCATCTCATCTCAAGTGCTTTTTAATGTTTGATGAAGAATCGGTAGTGTGTGTGCTGTGTGCGCCGTGGAAGGTGGACACAAGCAACCTCCTATTACTGCTTGCTTGCTCTTATCTATGCTACTGCTATTATTAAATAAGAGAAGTTGGATTGGATTTGAATTTTGTTACTGGTATCATATTACTATGTTCTTGTGCTAATTGACTACTTCGTGCTTATCTGACTTGTCCCGTGGCACTAAGAATTGATTGAGACGCCGTACATCAATTATTGAGGTCCAGTTACAAATAAAAAAAAAAAAGTTGATGTTGATGTTGATTATTTTAGTAGTCTGATCAGTAGACAAAAATAATTGAGGGAAGGATGACGGAGTGGGTGGTTAGAAAGCAGCTTCAAAGGACTAATTATATGCTTACAACTCGCAATGGGATTGCCATGTACAAACCAGCCTGGTCTGTATCATTACAAATTGGAAAGAAAAGGTTACTCAAAGGGAAATGTATAGAAATTCTACGATTGTGATTTATTCCCCTTAAACGTGGAGTTTAACACCACCCCTAGGATGTAGATATTGATTAAGGATCAAATCAAGTGCGTGGCATTCCCAACATTGGTAAAGCAGCAGCTGCCGAAGCTGCTGCAGGGGGATCAGCTGTTGATTTGAGGCTATACAGAAAAAAGGCAATTCAACATTGGATGGGATTGATCTGGGGCTTTTGACGATTGATCTGGGGCTTCGGTTTGTTTAACTCAAATACTTGAGATTTCTCAAGTTGTTGAAAGAACATTGGATGGGATTCGGGGGATGCAGTTGTTGTTGGTCAGACTTGCATCGAATTATGTTTTGTCAATAGTAATAGTGATGATGATAGATGTAGTCACTGAAACAATGAATACAAACATTAAACACAATAAAAAAATTTTTTTTTTTTTCTTTTGCTTAGGAGCTCTTGATCTAAGGGTTAAAGTCGAGACTCTAAAGTGCTGAAAAAAAAAATTAAAAAAATTTCAATTATTGGATCAAATCCTATCCAACTTTAAAGCAACCCCTTTTCGATTAATTATAGTGTGTAATCTCTAGCAAAGAACCTAGATTGTATTATCATATGTGAAGGGAAATGAACCTTGATATGTCCATTATTTCAGACGTGGAATGGCGAGCTTCCAAAAATTTGTGGACTTCCAGTGAGCGATAAAATACCCGATGCAACGGATTGTACGTAAATGGGTGTGGGCCTGAATTTGTCCATCTATCAATCGTCGGCTACCGAAAATGTGAGGCTTCCAAATATTGATGGGCTAAGGGGTTTGGGTTTCACACGTTTGACCCTCTTACGCAATAGATCAGTTCATAAATTGATTTTGTTTCGAACCATCCATCTTTTCATCTGAGGAAGTTGCTGCATTTTCCGAAGGGAGCCATGGATGGGAAGCCTCTCTTTGTTTTTCTTACTTTAAAAAATCTTTTCTGGAACACAACGTCCAATATAATGCTACAACGCTAGATAGAGGAAAACCAAGAGTGAGAACTGTGAAGTGTAGGGCGTCAATCTTAAAAGCTCTCGCTTTCATTGCCTACTTTTTTGTAGGAAAACAAAAAAGAGGAACGGAAATTTTAAGTTCTTTAAGCCTACCCACTCAAACGGCACAATCCCTATTTCAGACCAACCAACCCATTCTTAATCACTTATCCATCATCACCGGGTTTGTTACGTATGCCATTTATGAAGCCTAATCTTTCTTGTGATGTTATAGAAATTTTGTCACCTCTTCGAGGATAAATCTTGCCTGTCACTTGTCACGACGAGACATTGCCGGCTGATGCAAAACTGGTAATTGCCAATAACAGTCTATCTATTGATATACTAAGTAGCACAAGCAGGTTTTCCATGCCAATATTAACTGCCAATAACAAGGTAACAAGAGAATATTAGAGGAAGAAAAATATGTCCTGGAAAACATAGATGAACAACATCAGCGGAACAAATCCTTCCATTCTGACTGCATCAAACATGCAACAGGTTATGGGCTTCATGAACTTGGAACGAGTACTCGTTTTCGGATATCAACGAATTAATTAAGCGAGAGTTTCATATACGTACCTAAAAAAACAACAGCTGAGACAAATATTTAAATAGGGTCAGATGGGGACTATGTCAAAAAGAATAACAAGCATCTCCAATAACTCAGACAAGTACAAAATCATAAACAAGATTATGTATAATTGTTGTTGAAACTTTATCTATGCATTCTTCGACTACTGTGAACAATCCACTCAAAAGGGCCATACATACAAGAGCTTCCCAGTTTCTGAACTAAATTAGAGTTCCCTTAAGCACTATATCTGTATACATCTTTCCTAAACCCTTCTACTTCCGCCCATATGCCAAAACCTGCAAGCAGCAAGAACATAAGCAGAATACCACTGATCAACACACAGGGCATGAGAATTCTAGTTTAGTATTTAGTAAATTTACAGTTCATGTTCTGCATGTTAAAGTCATCTCAAACAGAAGGCTCACCAAATTGCACTGACTGGAACTGTAAATAGTTCGAATGTCACCCAGGGTCTGATGCTCATCCAACCTTTCCGTATTTTCAGACTGATCAAGAAAAGCAGATGCACTAGGGGCTTCATTGTTGTGTTTTGGGGGAAACCCCTTTTTAAGTTCCCTTTTCCACCAAATTTCAATTTCCTCAGCTTGCATAGAAGTTTGGAGAGCAACATACTGTACAGTATAGACATAAGAACTAGTTACAGACTAGGAACATAAGCTCCTCAATGTGGATTGCTATATATGAGAAATGACAACTTAGGATGTGCGAGCATCTTACTTGGCACAAGTGTCTCACTGACAAAGTAGGCTTACAACTAAGATAAGGCCTCTGCAAATTGGGTATTTCTTCTTTATCCATGGCAACAAGCTCAAGACTGACATCCAACTGAAACGATCAAAAGAGAAACCATCCTCATGCGAGAACATTGTGATGTGACGAGCTAAAAAAGCAAGTTATGCTATTTTTGTTGCAGAAGATATCACTAATCTAGTTCAACATCCAGACAAGCAGGATGTCCATGGCATGTACCAATAAAAAGAGAAGTAAACAAATTTCCTTCACTAATTGGAACAAAATCAACGTACACCTGAGGAAAGCACATAATGTATAGTCTACCTCCTCATTCTTTACATCTGAACAACGTAAAGAGTCCATCAGCTTTGAAAGTCGGCTGTTTCTAGCAAACTTGCCATTGCCACCACTAAAACCACCATGTCGGGTATGACTGCGCATGCCACCTTTTCCCCATGCAAGAATTTCTGTGCCGCCAATCAGTCCAGCAGAAGCACCAAGCAGCTCTCTGTTTACTTCTGAATCATTCTCATCGTACCCTGCATCAGAATTGGCTGCCGCAGAAGACTGTGAAAAACGAGCACCTCCCCATCTTTTTTGCCTTTTTGGTTTCACTTCTGGACTGCGCTCATCAGCAGAAGATGAATCTTTTCCACCATAAATTCCATTAGCATCATCATCTTCGTCAGATCCCTGATGTTCAGAAGTTCGAAGATTTCTCCTTCCCCTCACATTTCGGTAACTGCCATGAGATCTCCTTGCTGCAGCCCTAGCTGATCTTTTTCTTCCCAGTGCTTCTGTCTGTCGGCGAAAAGTCTGGGCAATTGAAGCTTGTATCTGACCAAATAACCAAAAAGATGAGTAAATGACCAATTCTAGGAAACCAATGGTCCAAAGCAGATGTGCAATTGGGCTGTAAACAAATCAAAGACAAAGCCATACATTGGAATGGTCATTTTATATTTGTTAGAAAGCTAATGTCTTGTTTACATGGGCATATACAAAAGTGTGCTAAAGAATAAACGAAAATGACGCATAGGAAATGAGATCCAGACAAAAGGCAGAAACTGGGATTCCCACATTTGTCATTCACAATTAAGGCAAAGCTATTCCTGCAGTGAAGGTCAACTGTTGGCTGTGCTAGTTACTGCATAGGAATTCAATTCTCCTCAAACTATTTATAGCATACCGAGGTAATAAGGAAGCGAAAGTGAAGGAAATCTAGACTGAACTCAAGTTCTGAGGTGAAACAGAGCTAACTCACTTGCTTATTACGAGCTTTCTCCTCTTCATGGAAAGCCAATTCCTGCTACAATACCAGATAAAGAGAGTGCTCATGTTCAGCAAAAAATTAGACTAATTGGTCCCTTAAACGAAATGGAATAATATATTAAACTATACCTCCTCCTCATATTTATCTATATCTGGATATAAAGCAGCAATGAGAGCATCATATTTTGGATCATCCCTCAAAGAACGTCGACTAGCGCAATGCGTGCGACAAGCTGGGCACTCGTTGTTCCTGCATTAAAGGTCAAATCATAAGTATGGATACAGGAGGGCAACCACAGTTTAAACATGAGCATGATACAGTACCCAAGTCGCATTGACTTGTCAATGCATTCTCTGCAAAAGCGATGAAGGCATTCCATAACTGTTCTTGTCTTCCGAATGATGCCTATCCATGATATATGGGAAAGAACATTATTAAGAAACATTTAGTTGAAAGTAAAGTTGGAAGACTAATAGATCAGAAAGTACAGAGATCTCAATTTCTTGTTTGCCTTCACAACCAAATGGTGGAAAGCCATGTGAGCCATCTCACAGTTATAGCACAACCAAGTCCCAAACCAGTAAAAAAGTGCCTCCATTTTCTTGTTCTTTTTCTACTTCCTAACTAATGCTTGCTTTAACTACAGTGCTTAAGGAACAAAAGGATAACTGATCAAGGAAATATTTCCTTTTACAGGGTGTTTGCAATATAATGTTTTTGGATATCTTTCCAACCCAAATGTGACACAACTTGTAGCACTAATACAAAAGCAATATTTATTTCTAATCATTTTTCAACATCCAAACTACTGTAGAATATTTAAATCAAGGAATGTGAACGAGTATCACAATAAACAAAAATAAATGGAAAAATATAGCATATAATACATTGTCATAGTAGCAGAGGATATATCTAGCAAAAGGTACCTGCTGAATACTCATAGAAACAATCAGAAGACATTGAAGATTTCTGTTTATAATAGTCATAATACCAATACACAAAAAAGCTCTTAATTTGGTAATTGTTACATATTGTATTCATTCAACTAAATGGCTAGCTAAGAATAATTATTTAGACATCTATATATTTGATACCTGACCCTATAATGAACTAACAATGCCGCATTTTGAAATTTCACTAGCCCAAGAAAAGGTTTTCATTTCAAGAAGCTGCGGCATACTGGCAAAAGTTACTGACTTGACACAAGAATAAGTTCCTGATGACAAATTCATTCTGCATCATTGTTCAGACAAAATATCCACTATATAAACTTTTGACCTTCAAGGACAAGCAGCTTCAAGGATTTAAAACTCAGGGAATCAAATCTCACATGAGAGTAAAGCCAGAAAAATCACAGACAAGTTCCTCTCCTCCCCAGCAAAAATATTTCCAAACTTTTCTTGCAAAACTGAATAGAGAACAATTCTATTGATATTTTATCCGTCTCATATTCATGATCAGGTATTGAATCACATACTTTAACTTGCAGTTAAGAGAAAATTAATCTAAACTTTTTAAAGCATGTCACATACCCAAGCATATCGGACACTGGACTTCCTTCCGTATCTCTGACAATTTCATGATGATAAATCTGCAGAAGTGGTAAAGCATAAGTGCAGAGAGGTAATTTTCAGAATTCCTTAAAAGCAAATCAGTGGAAGTTTGTAAACAACTATGCAGCCAGCACCTTTCCAAGCACATAACCCTGAAATTACATGACAACAGATAAAGTAAGAGATAGGGCTGTTGGATGGGAGTAATCAAACTTATGGGAACTTAATCTTCATTCTGTCAACCTCATAATTCACAGAGAAAATTTCATAATTGGCGAAAATGAGGTAGCTTGGTGTAAAACCATGCTGTTACTGTCCATCGAGGTTCTCAATTCGTCCAGTAGCTCACAAAATTAGACAGGAAACTTTCCTAATGCACTAAAAGACAAACAACAGCTGGCCAAGATATTATGGTACGTGTCTTTCAAATGCCTTTTCATTCTAACTAAGATCCTACAGCAAAAGAGGACCAAAAGTAATCGATGACTGAACATGATGATAATGATGCATGGCTTCTTGAACAAAGGCCAGGTACAGCGTCTACTGTACTGGAAACTTCAATTGTGTAACACCCTCATTTCAGTGGCCTAATGCAAATTTGAAGACTGAAGGCCCCTCATCTTCCAAATCACCCTTTCAGTATTTCAACTCTTCTCTCACTCGCTTCCCAAAGTACCCTTTCATCCTCACATCTCTCAGAGAACTGCATGCGCTAAATCCTCTCACATGGATATAGAGCCTTCAGGAAATCACCTAGCACATCATGGTAAAAATATCACACGTGGCTTACTAGACTGTCCAATTATCCAGCTACATATCCTGCGTAGTAACACCAAAAAGCAGGGAAGAAAGGGGAAGGCGGGGAGGGAGAAGAAACAACTTCCAACAGCCGAACTAACTCCCCCACAGATCAAATCAAGTTTAAGCATAATTTTTAATAAGTAACTCCCAATCAGCAAATTCATGCACAGAACTTTAAAGGAAAAATAGGAAACCTATTCCATCTCAGCAAGCTCAATTAGCAATCGCGACCACCAAGTTTTCAACGTTAACTAGCTTCAACGAAATTTGAAATATACCCATTTGAACTTCCACAAATGCTGAATAGAACGTGAACTACAGAGCTGGAAGACCGGGAAAAGTTAACAGAAATGATAGCTACAACCACTAAAACCAGAGAAATCGTGCGGATCTCAAACTAAACGCCTCCAGCTACACATTCAAGCCTTGATCAGCTCTAAACATAAAAAATCACAGTCATAAGACAATCAATCACAATGCCGAACACATAACCAGACATGCACATGCACACATACAAGTATCTACAAAAGCAGAGAGGAACAGTGAAAAAAGTTTACTCGTCCTTTTCCCCGTCACTCGACGATGCACTTCCATCGGAATCTGCTAGTGAAGGAAAAAGAAATCGAGTCAAAAAAAAGTTGAGATGAGAGAGTAGCAAAAGCAACCGACCAAAATTTCTCCGCTAGAAAATAACGTCTCGAATTAGGTAAACGTATGCGAATCTGTAGGCCGTAGACGTGTAGGTAACGTACCGTCAGCGTCATCGGCTTGTTCGCCGTTGTCGTTCTGGTTACGTTGGAGCGAATCATCGTCTCTATCCTCAGGCGGCTGCTGCTGCAGTGCAGGAGGTGGAGACGCAGGAGGAGGCAGAGTCGGAGGTGGAGGCGGAGGAGGAGTCTCCTGTGAACGCTTTTGTGCTGGCATTGTCTAGTCAAAGGCGTGGATGGAGGTGTTCGCCGCCGCGGGAAGTGGCGGACCTGGCGGGGAAGGAAGGAGAGAGAAAGGCAAGAAAGACTAGAGAGAGAAGCGATTCGGTGTGGCTTTCGTTTACTCTGTTGTGTTTATACATACACTACTACTACTACTACTATTTACGCTGCGCGAGTTGTATAAATTAATTGATAATGAATTGTTTACCTGAAACTGAAAAAAAAAAAAAAAAGAAGAGAAATTTTGGAGACAACTTTTCTTTTCTTAGCATTCAAAAAGGTACTACTGTGCATGCACAAGGAACAAGTCTTTGAATTCATGGCAAATTGCTAATATGACCCTTTAACTTGTTGAGAATTTTATATATCAAACAATAATATTGATCCACTGCGCCTCGTGCTTTGAATTTGCTTTATAGCATGTAACAATCAATTGCTTGAATGGATCCAAGTATCCAACCACCTCGATTATAGATATGCATTTAGTCATGGAAAATGAAGAATTGGTTAAATGAGGAAACATTATTAGTTTTAATTTTTAAGGAGGAATTTTTTTTTGTGGGTTTTGTATTATCCAAGAATGGAATTTTGTGGCAAATTCCAGTGGCAAATTGGTGAGAATAAAGTAGTTAGCTAGTTATCGTGTGTGGTTATCGTGTGTGAATAAAGTATTCGCAAGAGTCCGAATCCTGTGATTATCGTGTTCGGGGGATGGGGCCTCTCCTCTCGAGTCGAAGTGGGATTAGTCGGTCCCGTAAGAATTGACCCGGACACCCACTCCGTCAGCAAAATAAAAAAAAAAAGTAGTTAGCTAGTTCAGAAAGGCAAATGTTATATTTGCACTTCCATTTTTGTTAATCACACTTTCATTGTCACTTTAATCATATGATTTTCATTTATTATACTATATGATAAAATAAATTGTAGTAGCGCGAAAAATAAGAAATGGAGCGCAACTAATGTCTCCCTTTAAAAAAATTCTTGATTGATTGATGCTCGTTGGTGATTCTTCAACCACTCTATACTACACTTTTCCATTTAACTTGCTGGTTTTTGTAGGAGGGTTACTCTAACTCATGCTCTTAATTAGGGGCTGCATATCCACGGGATGATATCTGCTCGAGGACAGACTTGACGTCCACTTTCGTACTAGCAAATTCCATTGCACATTAATTATATAGTTCTATACAAAAATGTGCTTCCAAGAGTTACTGATTAAAAAATTGCAAAAAAGAGCAAAAATAATTCATCATTCAAATCATAATAAAAAGCATTCAGCAATCAATAGATACATGTCTTAGAGATGCCATTAGGGTCAACTCAGTGATTAGAAGAGAGCTCATGAAGTCTTTTTTGTTATCAAGTTCGAAGTTCGAATGTTGTAATTGGATTTGAATCTTATCTCTGACAGTTAGGAATGGAAAGGATGTGGGAAGGGGTGAGAATAGAAAAAAACCTAAAAAACATTGCACTTTGTTTGCCGACCGACCGACCCTTTTTCTTTCTTTTTTTTTTTTCCTTCCAACTATTCTGCTTTATTGCTAGATATTGTTAAGGAATACAAATAAATCTCGTGGTCGGTATGTCAAACAGGTTAAATGAAACCACAGAAACGAAATCAAGGAAATAGATAGTAGAAGTAAAAGGACATTGAACATCAAAGTAGAAAATGTGTGATTACAAACAGAGGTGTCAAAATAGATGATTCGAACGGATTTGGGTAATGCCCATTTATACCTATTTAATAAATGGGTATGGGTATACCTAATTACCCGTTTATGAGTCATTTAAAATTTTATTTATTTTTTTGCATGTTATTTGACGAGAAATATTGGTATTTTATTATTATTAGATTAGTCAGATATTCAAATTTATTTGTTTAATGCTTATTAAAAGTTGAGTTTACATGCATAATTATTTTTAAATGGATATAAATGGGTTAATTGAGTCAACCAACTACTCACCAATTAAATTGGTTTTTTTGGGTACCTAATTAGACTCATTTAAAATTAATGAGAGGGTTTGAACGGATCAACATAATTGGATTGTGATTGACACCTCTAATTACAAATACTTAAAATCGATTGTTCAATTATGAAAAAACTGGTCAATTGCCGAATATCTATTCTGTTTGGGTACTTGGCAAATTACTTCCAATTAAGTTTGACTCGAATTTTCTTTTCATTGCGTGAAAGTCATCTTTACCTTTCGAATTTCGCATATGAGGATGGTAAAATTAATTGTGGTTAGAGATGTATCAGAAGGGGAGATAAAAGTTAAAAAAAAAAAAAAACCAATGGAGAGATAAGAGAGGTAATTCGAGTAGCTTCATAGTAAATGAAAGATTTTAGTGTTAAATTAGGAGAAAAGCTACTGCTGTGCTAATATCCTTAACTCTGATATTGTATGGTAACATTGCATTTCGACCTTTTACGAATATAAGATTCAACATATACATTAACACAATAATCACGGTGCTTTAGCCAGTGGCCACCGGGAGGGATTCACAGCCTTTCTTAGGTGCTAGATCACTGTACTAATGCGCTAGTTGGATTGGAGGTGATTTCTTCCCCTCTTGGTTCTCTTGAGATCTCATCGGATCCTTCTCCTTTCCTCGGAGTGTAAGTCTAGGTTAGCTACGTACAATTGTGATAAAGAATATATACATACATATATATTAGGGTAAATTTTTATGCATTTATTGTATATATATTAGCAGATTTAGATGAATTAAGATGTCACGTCAAATTCAAATTAAGATGCATTTATTGTATATATACTAGCACATATATAATTAGCTATTCAAATTCAAATTAAGATGTCGCGTCATATATTTTGACCTATTAGTATATACATTAATAGTGTAAAAAAATTTATTTTATATAATACCAGAACAAATATAATGCTTAAATAACAATGTACGCACACATCAAAATGAAAATATGTAATAAATTTAGGCTAACATTAGAGTTTTTTTTCCCATAAATACATTTAATTTAAAATCGAATGAAAATAAGGCATAAAGCATAAAAAGCATTGATGATTGAATAGATAAAGAAGAAGAAGTATTTATCCTTCTGTCTGGGTCTGGTACTGTATGAACTTGACATCCGACCCACAGAGAAATTTTTTGCTTGAATCTCGAAAGGTCTATAAATATGGACCAAGTTGTGAGCTTTTTCGGGAGCTCGATTCAGCTGGATTGATTGAAGGTTAAGAAAGCCCAAAAACAAGTCTTCCGGTTTGGTTCTCTTTCTATTTCCGGTAGCCGTTAATTAACTGTCTATCCCGCCTCGTAGGTAGCAAACCTTAATCCAAGAACTATTACCCCACAAGTCCACATTCCTTGCAGTTGATGCTGATTCAGAAATCAGGAGTCAAGACAAGCCCCAGATAAGATACTAGACAAGTATGCTTCAAAGAACCAATCAACAAGGATGAACCATTATTATCTTTTACTACTTTTTGGAAGTTGATTTACAAATCGCTTGTTCTTTTCTCTCAGTTTATGCTCGGTGGAAAAATTGTATGCTCCACAGCTTCATCATCATCATCGTCAGATTCTTTGGAACTGAGCTGTCACGTAAGCTCTGCAACATGGGCTTCCCTGAAATTGTCGATTTTGCCCGCAATTTCTCCGTCATGGTCAGAATTCAAGGCCCCGTGAGTCCCTCTTTGCAGAAACTCATACGTCCAACTACTTTACATTCCATATTTTTCTTTGCGTTGAGAATAATTTCGTATTTATGTGTTGGCTACTATTTTTTTGGTGTTATGGTTATTTAAAGAATCACACCACAATACTGGTAGTTGGCTATTCGATTTTGTTGAAGCTATGCTAATTTTATAGTGTTAGATTAACTGGGTTTAAGTTTTCATTCTGAGACACTTGATTTCAGGACCCAAAGGGCCTAAAAATGCGGAAACATGCTTTCCACCACTATAAGTAAGTGTTACATGGGGTACTTTGATTATACAATGTTGTTATGTATGTACTGTGCAGAAACTATATTTGATATCATAAAAGACTGATCTTTTCTATGTTTTTGGCCCATTTTTGCATAATTTTTTTGCTGTAGTTCTGGCAACACAACATTGTCGGCGTCAGGGATGCTTTTACCTGGATTTTCTTATTATCCCTCAAGAACCAAGGAAATCGGTAATGAGAACTGGGATGCAGAGTCTGTGCGGAATTCTGTGTTGGTTTTGACTGTTGCATCAGTCATTGAGCCTTTTGTCAGTAAGCAACACAAGACAGACATCTATAAGGTTGGTGGAGCTTCTTAAACACGTTAATGCATTCAATCAAAGAATTGCAGCCGACATATGTATAAATATATATATATATATATATATATATATTTGTTTTTGTACTGAAGTTGCTTCCAATGTCAAGCAGGATAAACCCCAGTTGCTATTTGGTGTTCAAATTGAAATATTGGTTGAGGTACAAGTCTATCAAAGGATTTTAATCTGTTGAGCTTTTTGCTGTCACGAGATTTCTTTGCTTATGTTCATAGGTAATGTGCTGATGTACAGGGGAAAAGGGAAATAGATGTTGAAATCACAAAGGGGAAGACTTCTCAATGGATTCCAGCGGAACTTCTAACGATGGTAGGCTTTTTGTAAAGCGTTTGTGGAGTACAAGCTATAGAACTTTTGAACAAATTGTTTTGCCATTCTTCTACATGTCATCTTGTCTTTTATGTATCAAGATCACTGTAGCATTGCAAGTTGCTTTTCAGACTCTTTGCAATGCCTAGTCAATGGCATTTGGCCGAAGATGATAATCTCTCAATAGGATACTGTGTTTTAGCTTCTTGTGGGTCTTTAGATGAACTAATATGCTTGGTTATTATCAAACTTTATTCTCTTCCAATGATGCATTGTATTCTTGATTTGGGATTATCTGGAAAGGCAAACTTTATTCTCTTCCAATGATGCATTGTATTCTTGATTTGGGTTTATCTAGAAAGGCTCTTGACACTCCTCATGTGATGTTAAGGTTGACATTCCTGTATCATACAGTGCTGTACAATCTCTCATTGAAACTGCTTCTGGTTCTTTGGAGCATGGTTGGGAAATTGGTTGGTCATTGGCTTCCTATGCCAGCGTTCCCCAATCTGTTATGGGTGATGCTCAGTCAGAGGTAAATTG